AAGTAAAATCATCTTTTAAATCAAAGAATGTGATTTCCACTTCAAAACCCCTAGAATTATTACATTTAGATTTATTTGGACCTTCTAGGATAAAAGGCTTTGGTGGAAATTATTATGGACTTGTAATTGTTGATGATTACTCTAGATATACTTGGACATTTTTCCTAACTATGAAAAGTGAAGCTTTTAAGGTCTTTAGAAAGTTTGCTAAACAAATACAAAATGAGAAAGACCTAAGAATTAAAGTTTTAAGAAGTGACCATGGTGGTGAGTTTCAAAATGAAAAGTTTGAGAATTATTGTGAGGAAAATGGTATATTACATAACTTTTCTGCTCCTAGGACTCCCCAACAAAATGGTGTAGTTGAGAGGAAAAATAGGTCATTAGAGGAACTTGCAAGAACTATGTTAAATGAATCTAATGTTCCTAAATATTTTTGGGCTGATGCGGTTAGTACTGCATGTTATGTTTTAAATAGAATGCTCATTAGGTCAATTATAAAATCTACTCCATATGAATTGTTTAATGGTAGAAAACCTAATGTTGCACATTTGAAAATTTTTGGTTGTAAATGTTTTGTACTAAATAATGGAAAGGACAATCTAGGAAAATTTGATTCAAAAGCCGATGAGGGCATTTTTCTAGGTTATTCTCTAACTAGCAAGGCATATAGAGTGTTTAATAGGAGAACTTTAAATATAGAAGAATCTATACATGTTACCTTTGATGAGATTGTAGACCTTGGGAGAAATCCTCTTGAGTCAAATAAAAGACTTGCAGGTGATGATGAATATATAAGGGAGGCTCTTGATGAATTGTATTTAGAAGATAATGAGCCTTCTCAAACTCCTCAATTAGCAAAGGAATGACAATCACCTAGAGGACTCTCAATGGACAATATCATAGGTGATATCTCAAAAGGGGTAAGAACTAGAAATATGACAAATTTCTGTATGTCTGTTGCTTTTGTGTCACAGATAGAACCTAAAAACATTGAGGAAGCACTTAAAGATGATCAATGGTGCATAGCCATGCAAGAAGAACTTAACCAATTTGAAAGGAATCAAGTCTGGGAATTAATTCCATGAGAAGAGTCACATCAAGTCATTGGAACTAAATGGGTATTTAGAAATAAGCTTGATGAAGATGGTAATATAACAAAGAATAAAGCCAGACTTGTTGCAAAAGACTATTGTCAGGAGGAAGGTATAGATTATGATGAAACTTATGCTCCTGTTGCCAGGTTAGAGGCTATACGCCTACTTCTTGCCTATGCATCTATGATGAAATTTAAATTATATCAAATGGATGTTAAAAGTGCATTTTTAAATGGTTTTATCAAAGAAGAAGTATATGTAGAGCAACCCCCTGGATTTGAAGATTTTAATAATCCTAATCATATTTACAAATTAAAGAAAGCATTATATGGGTTAAAACAAGCTCCTAGATCTTGGTATGAAAGATTAAGTAGTTTCCTAACTGCAAATGATTTTTCAAGAGGAAGAATTGATTCTACACTGTTTATTAAGAAAGTTAAAGAACATATCTTATTGGTCCAGGTATATGTTGATGATATTATTTTTGGATCATCTGATAATTCGCTGTGTGTAGAATTTGCTAAGATTATGCAGGGAGAGTTTGAAATGTCTATGATGGGAGAATTGACATTCTTCCTTGGACTTCAAATCAAGCAACTTAAAGATGACACTTTCATATCTCAAACTAAATACTGCAAGGAGATTCTCAAAAAGTTTGGTATGGACACCTCAAAAGAAGCCAACACACCCATGGGAACTTCATGCTATTTAGACAAGGATGAATCAGGTTTGGAAGTTAATCAAACTATGTATAGAGGTATGATAGGATCACTATTATACTTAACTGCTAGTAGACCTGATATTATGCATTCTGTCTGTGTGTGTGCTAGATTTCAGGCTTGTCCTAAAGAATCTCATCTAATTGCAGTAAAACATATTTTAAAATACTTAAAAGGAACTACTGGTTTTGGTTTGTGGTATCCGTCTGATGCTTGTATTAGTTTAATAGGATATTCTGATGCTGATTATGGTGGATGTAAAATTGATAGGAAAAGCACTAGTGGGACATGTCATTTGTTAGGTTCATCCTTAATATCTTGGCATTCCAAGAAACATGCATGTATTGCTTTATCTACCACTGAAGCTGAATATATTGCAGCTGGTAGTTGTTGTGCTCAAATTCTGTGGATGAAACAACAATTAGAGGATTATAGCATATATTTAAATGACATTCCATTAATGTGTGATAATACGAGTGCAATCAATCTAACTAAGAATCCAGTAATGCACTCTAGGACTAAACATATTGAGATTAGACATCACTTTTTAAGAGATCATATCAGCAAAGGAAACTGCAAAATAGAGTATGTAGACACTAAACGTCAATTAGCAGATATATTTACTAAGCCTCTACCCAAGGATAGATTCTATGATCTTAGAAGAGACTTAGGGATATTAGAAATAGCTTAAAATCTGCTTAATTTGACTGTTTCTGGATGATTGTTATGTTAAAATTCGTGGTGTAGCATGTTCATAGGTTATTATGCATATAAATCTCAAAAACTTGATATAGCCTCCGGAATAATCGATTACTTGGAAGTGATAATCGATTATTTTCCCTCAAAACGTCCAAAACAGGGTATTCTCCTCCGGAATAATCGATTATTTCATGAAATAATCGATTAAATGCCTCAGATAATCGATTATTTGCTAGAAATAATCGATTAAAGTCATTCGATATAGAGATAATCGATTATTTTGAGATATAATCGATTAAATGCGACCAGATCTTGCCTCCTAGCCGTTGCCAACGGATATTTTGCCATGGAATCTCTTCTATATGACCGTTGGAAGTATTTTCCCTATATATAGAGACCTCTAGTTCAATTATACTCACTTCTAACTCTTGCAATCAAGTTTTTCTTGCAATCTATACTCTCTTTGCCTCATTATTCCCTAACTTGTCTCCAAATCTTCTTCATACTTCATCTATTCTTTCAAGTGTGTCGTTTAGAGAATAGATTTGATGCACACTTTAATGATCATGATAGTGAAGAATTTTAAATTCTGTTATGTATTTTCTTTTGTTATTGTCTTGAGGTTGTAATGGATGAATGATTATGAAATAAAATATGATGCTTCTTTCATGCTATGATTAAGGGGGAGCTTTCTCTAAATTATGCATATTTTGAGGGGGAGATCTAATGTTTGTTCTTTCGAGTTCTTTTTGATTATAATCAAAATAGGGGAGAAAAATTTAAAGCCTATATTCAATTTTAAATTTTATCCGGTATGTTTAATGTGTTTGTTAGTATGACGGATAAAACATGTTATTACAAGGGCTTTAAAAGATAATTTTGATCATCATCAAAAAGGGGAGATTGTTGAACATTCAAGGACTTGATGTTGCAAATAATGATCATGAAGAATGTTGATTTTGATGATGATCCAAGAGCTTAAAGACTTAAAGTATTGAAGATTGATGATTTCTGTATTGTAATAACTCTGTTTTAGTTTGATTGAGTATGTAATTATAGAATCTAAGATAGCCGGTACATAGTCCGTAACTTAGAAGCTTCAAAAAGCTCAAATTTATCATTCAAGCTCAGCTTTAATCGATTAAATAGGTAAATAATCGATTAAAACAAGTGAGAAAACCATTTTCCGTACAAACTCATCGCTTTAATCGATTAAACGACAAAATAATCGATTATTCAGATACAGATAATCGATTATTTCACTAAATAATCGATTAAACCGAGAGTATTGGGTTCGACGTATTTGGCTCTGTTTTAATCGATTATTACTCCAAATAATCGATTATTCCAATCTGTTTCGATTTTAAACTTCAAACAAACCCTATTTTCGAAAACCCAATTACCAAGAACCCTAGTTTCGAAATCCCCAAATCCTAAACCCTAATTTCCCTACTTAAACTCTCCTTTGGCACTCGGAAAAGGAGAACAACCTTTTCCATACAAAAGTTAAGTGTCTGTGAGTGCCGGAGAACTGTTTGTTGCAAGGAAAGGGGCTTTCGAACCTGGTGTGGGCTAGAAGCGATAAGAATCACTAAGTGGAGTTCTTAGTGGATTGTGTCGTCGTCCGATCTCCGGAGAAAGCTTGTTCATCATCTCTTGTGGATTTCAAGAGAGGTGTATTCCGATCTTTATCTCGTTCATTTGTAATCTGTTTGTAACAATTTGTTCTTAGTGACAGCGTTAATCCTCTTTTGAGTGATTAGCAATCTGGACGTAGGGTCTTTTGATCCGAACCAGTATAAACCTACTGTGTAATCTTCTCTACTCTTCTCTATTTACATTTACGCAGTTTTTAATAGGTAAAATTTGAGGAAAATTTTGAAAATCTAATTTTTATTAAGAAACCAATCCACCCCCTCTTGGTTTTTGTCCGACCACGCGATCATTCTGCTGCGCAATTCTAACAATATTTTATTATTTCTTTAAGAATGTAAATGGATCTCTTTCCAAACTCACTCACCTGCAAATTCTGGTAAGAATGCAAATGGATCTATAATTGTTTTTACAAGATAAAAATAAGCCAAAAAAAATTAAAACTAATTTGTATTTGAGTAAAAATAATATGATTTTTAATTTTAACTAATAAATAATTATATTTTTTCCTAAAATTATGTGCAGAAAAATTCATCGCATGGACAGTAAGTATTTTGGAAATAAAGCAGGAGTTGAGTGCCTTATTCAGACAGTGGATCCTTATAAAAATACCTTCACTAGTTACACAGCTCTTGCTAAGAAACCGACACTAGTCACTTAAATATTGTCACACAACCACAAAGATAACAATGATTAAGCACTTCAACCCTGTTTTAAAATATTAAAATGACTAAAAAACACAAGAAAAATATCCTTTATTAATCTAAATTAGCTAATCAACCCCATTACAAATTTATAGAAACCAGTCCGATTACTCCACCAACACAGTGGCTCATTCCCAGGTCTTGTCTTCTGGCTTCATACTTGAAACTGGAAGTGGTGGGATACTCTGCTCGTGCCTGAACACATTATCAGGATCCACTTTTGTCTTTATTTTCACCAACCTGTTGAAATTATCCTTGAAATACATATTGCCCCAAGAAGTTGCCTGTATGTAACTTGTGCTGTTCTTCTTGTTCATTCCCAAATCTAGATCTCTATAGTTCACATATGCCTCCCTTGGGAACTTAGACGCATAAGGAGTCATGTAGTTGTAAAGCTTCCGAATCCAGTCTATATGCTTTGTGGCATTTTTATCCCCATTTTGCCAAAGAGATAAATACTGGATTTTGTAGAGTGTTCCATTCCTGTGAGGAAAGGGAATATCAGACTCCGAAAATTTGCTCATCATCCCACCATATGGGTTCCAAATCATCAAGGGACTGTCTTCTCCCAGCAATCTTTGCCACAGTCCCTGAAGCCCCATTTCTGGTATTGGCTCTCTCACAAAATCTGACTTGGCTTTGAAGTAGTTCTTGAAAGTTGACTTTCCTTGAAGCAGAACTTCAGGGGGTGTGTCATTTGGATAACCAGCAATATAGAGCACAGACTTGATCCAACTGGTTTCCAGACAATCTTTTCTTGTCAAATCCAATTCAGGAAAGCTTTCCTTCATCACTTGGAGGAGTCTGTCAGTCCCACCAAGGAATTGAGCATTGTAAGATGTTGTGATGGTTCTCTCAGTTTTGTTCCCAACATTGGCTGGTTGAATGATGACTCTGATGAAGAGATCCTCATCAATATAGGGTGCCACTTCCTGCCATCTATGAACAATCTTTGTTGCATCTTGCTCTAGGCTCTTTGTAACTGTAAAAACTGTCACAGTTTCTGGCACAGGAACCAGCCTTATCTTCCACCAAAGAAGGATACCAAAGCTTGCTCCTCCACCTCCTCTAATTGCCCAAAATAGGTCCTCTCCCATGGCTTCCCTATCAAGGATTTGGCCATTTGCATCAACTAGTTTTGCATCTAGAACATTATCAGCTCCAAGGCCATACTTTCTCATCATGGATCCATATGCACCTCCTGTGATGTGCCCTCCGACACCTAAGCTTGTGCAAAGGCCTGCAGGGAAACCATGAACTGAACTTTTCTCATATATTCTGTAATAGACTTCTCCAATAGTGGCACCAGCTTGAATCCAAGCACTGTCGTCTTTTATATCAACATCAATGGCCCGAAGCTTGGACAAATCAACAATTATGAAAGGGGCCTCAACTTCAGAAACATATGAAAGTCCTTCATAATCATGGCCACCACTACGAACTCTCAGATGAATACCAAGTTTCTTTGAACAAATCACTGCCACTTGGACATGTGAATCAGTCAAGGGTGTGAATATAAACTCTGGTTTTGGCGCTGAAGGCACCAAATACCTTAGGTTCTGTGCAGAGGATTCGAGGATGTTGGTGAACGAAGCATTTTTTGGAGTGTAAATTGAGGCATAAAATGGAGCTGCTTTGTCTGAATAGAAGCTGAGACATTGGACAAAGTTTTCTTCAAGTGAAGCTGAAGCTGCTAATGAAACTGATAATAGGAGGATTAGACTTGCCAAGTGTGAGCGTGGTGGCAACATGGTTTTGTGTTCTGAGGTTTATGTTTCAATATTTTGTGCTTAAGGAGGCTTCCACAAATGTTATATTTATACGAACGTAATGAACAAAGGTCACAATGTGTTATACTATAGTTTACGTATAATTGCGCTAAGAAAAACGTCACTATACAGATGAGGAGTGTTGGCATTATCTTGTAGTTAATGTCTATATTCTTAATTATGACGGTGTGGAACATGAGCTTTCTGATATATATATCTTTGATTGCAAGAACATCGACCACTTTCACAATTAACATAGTCTGAAAGGACTTCTCTATGCTTCATAGTTGCTAAAAAGAATGGTATAAGCAAAGCAACAGTCTTCAATGGCCCCACTACTTTCGAAATATTTTTGAATAACAAGAGAGAAGTTTGTCTCTACTCTTGCAGCATTTTATGATCATGCAACAACTAAAGAAAATTCTGCATATTTTTTTAATTAGATTCTCCATAGTTCATAATTCTCAATTCATTTCATGGCTTCGTAGTGGGGGATAAACAGCAGGTCCACAACATCACATGTTCATTTTGTACATATTTTACTTCACCCACCTACGCAAAGTATAATGGCACACTAAAGTTTTGTAACACTTTTTTGTAGAAAAGGTAAAAAGAAGAGATTTCAAATCGCCAAGAGGGTGTAGAACTCTAGTTTTCAAGATAAGGAGTAATCTTTGTAAGTGGTTTTTCTATTTTCATAGTCACATGGCTTAAGAAAAAGAAGAAATGAAGGCTTAAAGAAAGGGGAAGTGAGGAAAATGAAAGAAAGTAAGAGGTTTGATCTTCCTTCACGATTGGGGATAGATGGAATCCGTGTAGTATGCGCAATTTGACGAAAAGCGTAACATCAACTTTTTTATATTTTTTGCTAATGCTTCAAGGGAGATTCCAGTGCCAAGTTTGAGTTCTGGCATGGAAATTTTTCTTCAACTTCCACTTTTAAACTGCTAGATGGAGAAATGTTAGAAACTTTATAACAGTCATTTGAACACACTCTTTTGTATTGGTTAAGTTTTATTCAAAATGATTTTTTTTTTTTTTTTATGTGGGTTTCATGTCACACTTAATTATACCATATAACACAACAAAAGAAAAAAAATAAAATTCTGAAGGAACTGAGAGAACTATACTCACTCAATCAAGAAACAAATCTATAATTAGATAAGATTCATCAATCCTGAATAAATCAATTAATTCTGACATATAAAAAAAGTAAAATAGAGAATGTCATTCATATTTTATTAAAGTAAAAAACTTTATTCCATTTCTTGATTTCTCCAAAAGCAATTTAAGTAACTTTAAAAAGAAATGAAGCCAGTGTTAATATTTAAATATCAATGTTTACGTTACGTAATTAACTATGTAGTTAATATTTTGTTAACATTTATGTTGCATAATTAATTATGTTGCAGACATAATAAATGCTATAACTAAATATTCTATTAAAATATCTTTTAATTATAACAATAATAAATAATTTTAAAAATAACATTAAAATAATAAATAAAATTACTAATAACAAGTATACTCGTTTTCACAAAATTTTCAACAAATTCAAATAAATTTACATTTTGATTATTTTTATTCTCTTTCTCCTAATTTTTTACTTGCTGACTTTCCACCATCTTTTCAAGTACACAATCTATTTCTAATGAAATTTAAACGAATTGGTTCAGTAAACTTTCTACTAATTAAATGGAACATTTACTAATTAAACAAATGAGATGTTATTTTATAACGTGATATATAAAAAAAAACTCTTAATATATGTAAAACAAAAATTATTTATCTATTTTAAAATAATATTGAAGATTAAAAATAGAGATTTAAAATCACATGAAAGTCTAATAAGGAGTAACATAAAAATCACATGTTTTTAAGGAATAAAAATAATTATTGTAACTTTTATAAGGAATTTTTTTTTCATAGAAGTCAAAAATTAACACAAACAAATTTTACAGAGATTAAAAAATATATTTAAGCTTTTCAATATTTATTATTTTCGGTATTTGCTTAAACGATAATAATACAATTAAATAAGTTAAAATAAAAAAATAATTTGTCTGAGTTAAGGTTTATTAATTTTACAAGACTTTGAATTAATATGGTTGAGCGGTGTAAGAATCTGATTTCTCTAGTAATCATAAATTAGAAAATAGAAAAACTATGACCAGTATTTTACAAACAAGCATAATAAAAATTTACATTAATTAAAATATGATAATATAATATATAAATGAATATAAATTTAATTTATTAAATTAATTTTATAAAATAATATATAAACAAATACGAAACTTTGTTAAATCAATTTTATAGAATTGAAATGAATTATCACTGTTTTAGTATTATAGTGAGCTTCAATCATTTTGATAAAGTACCGTTCTTATCCATGAAGGGTGAGGAACACTTTTGGAATACAAAACATTGTTGGTGGTGTTAGAGACACATGAGTCAGTGTAACCTCAAGAGCTTGGTGCACAACCACTTAAAGAATCCACTTTTGGTGCACCGGATTCAAGTCAACCACTACGGTCATAATTTAAAACAATTTCTTTCCTTAGCAAATTAATTATTTGAGTTATGAGTGGATGACAATGTGCCATTTAATCCAGTAGTGGATTTTGTTCATACAACACACACCAACACCATCATCTTCAATAAAAAAATGAACACTCTAATTGGAAGAATGTGAAATCCAGTTGGTTTACATCTTAAGGATCTAATTGAATAATTTCTACGTGCTTTTGTAGGAAATTTAATACATATTTAATTTATAATATTTTATCAAAAAAGAGTTTTTGGGCTTGAAAAAGAAAAGAAAAGGAAGTTATATTTTTTTTTTACTCCATATATTATTTGAAAAGATGATAATATTCTTAGTTTTATATATGGAATAAGTGATATAAAAATATATTATGGAGTATTCTGGAAAGATTATTCCGAAGAAAAGCTAAATCTAAAAATAATTTTTCAGGTTTTAAATTCACTTTTCTAAAAGATTTATGGAATAAGCTTTCCATAAATATATCGGAGAATAACCTTTTTATAAACATTTTGAAATCAGTTTTCTGGATATTTAGAAAAAGTTGATTCCGAAATTTAATATTATTAAGAATAAGTTTATTTTTTAAACAAATAGAAGTACAGAAGGAAGAAAATATGTGGGTGTAGAAAGAAAAAGGCCTAGGGAAATGTATATTCCGGCCTTCTGACCGAAGGACGAATAAGGTTAAATATAAAAGAGAGTTCTTCCTGCATCTCTACAGTTTCCTGCATGTGTAATTAAAATAAATTTTATTTTATTTTTATACCTATTTTTATCTTAGTAAGTGTTTATTTTTTATTTTTAAAACCTTTGAATGTCTTATTTTTAAATCCTAAAACATTTTCATTTTTCCTTCTCCTATTATTTCAAGAATTCCAAAACACTGATAAGAATCTTGAATTATTTTTAATTTTATTAATATTTTATAACAAGAATTCCAAAAAACTGATAAAAATCTTGAATTATTTTTAATTTTATTAATATTTTATAAGAGACAGTATCTCACGGAATAAGATTTTTGACTGAAAATATGTTTAGAGTAAGAATTGGAAATACATTCCTGAAACAGATTTTTTGGAACCAAATTCCAGAAAGGTGAATATGGAATATATTTTTAGAATTAATTTTCTAGAAATATATTTCGAATTTATGGGTCCTCAATACAGTTTCAAATTCTGAAATATGTTTCTGAAAAATCTGTTCCGAAATTGATTTTTCAAAAATGTATTCCGATTGTTCTAGAACTCACTTTGATTTTTTTAAAAAATCATTCTGGATCAAAATATCTGAGTTCTTATGTACAATTTCAATGCAGAAAACATATAATAGATAACTAATATTAACAATTGCTCACATTAAGTGTTGAAAATAATATTAAATAGAGGTGATAGAAAAAAAAAAATCAGTGTAAAAGATACACAGTGGAGATACAGAAGATAAACAAAGGAAATAGATTCTTAGGGTTGAAAACAAAAATTATTAAAATGGTATTTTGGTTTTCTTAGATGAGTCATGGAGATGCATGAAGAAATCACGGTGTACTGTGAAAGAAATGAAAAATTGTTGAGATAGCTTAAAAATAAAAGTGTTATCAGTTTCCATTTTCATCACAATTTTCCTTGAAACAGCATTTTCCTTTAACCTAAAAGGTTTACCTTCAATGTTTTTCATCATGTTTAGAACATGTAAATTCAACCGCAGAAGTAATACTCAGCCAAAACAGTTCTTCTTACACTTCCCTTTTGCAGTCTTCCCTAAGGAACCTCAGATTCTTGAACAATTCAGTCTCAAAACCTAATTTTATTGTGACTCCAGGAGAACTGGTTCACATTTAGGCATCAATTACTAGTTCAAAGGAACAAGCCATTCAACTGAGAGTTCTCAGAGGAGGGCATGACTATGAGGGTCTTTCTTATATCTCTGATGTCCCATTCGTGATCATTGACTTCATAAACTATAGGTCCATAAGCGTTGACATTGTGCATGGGTGAAAGCAGGTGTGCTACTCTTGGAGAACTCTATTGTGCAATTGCAAAAGCAAGTAATGTTTATGGCTTCCCACCTTAGAGTTGTCTAATGTATTAGAAAATATGTGAGTCTAAGTATTATATTGAATAAAAATGAAAAAATTGATTAACATGTAAAGAAGAAGTAAGTATAATCTATAATCCAATTTTGGGTTGAGAATTCTTACGTGAGTTAATATTTGATTGGTGTTATTTCTCTCTGATGAATCCCTCAAAAACCTAACCCATAGGACATTGATGGTGAGTTTGGACAATTTTCAGAAAACAACGTATTGCAACTGATAATATAATCGATGCTGTTAGATATGTTAATGGAAACATAAATAGAACTCTGATGGGGGATGATCTCTTTAGGGCCATAATAAGAGATGGTGGAGGGTCAAGCTTTACAGTGATCACTGCATGGCAAGTTAAGCTTGTACCTTTTCCCCCAAAAGTGACAATTTTCAGTGTCCCAAGAACACTCGATCAAGGTGCAAGTAACCTTTTCCAAAAATTTCAAACTATGGCTCACAAACTTCCTAGCGAACTTTTTCAACACTCAGTTATGGGAGTTACCACTTCATCTTCTAATGGTGGAAAAACTCTTGTGGTTTATTTGACTGGATTGTATCTAGGGACAGCTCAGAACCTCCTTCCTTTGATGCAAAGCAATTTAGGCTGAGTTAGGTTTTCAGCCCGACAACTTTACCGAGATGAGTTGGATTCAATCTGTTCTTTGTTTTTCAACCAATGGACCCTTGGATTTGTTGCTTCAGAGAAACCAAAGATTCAGAAGCGTCAAAGCAAAATCAGACTATGTTACAGAACCTATTCCTGTGCCAGGTTTGGAAGGGGGGTTGTGGGACATATTGCTTGAAGAGAACCCGATCAACACACCGATGACACCATATGGAGGGAGAATGGATGAGATTTCAGGATCAGAAACACAAGCACATGGATTGGATGAGAAGGCTCTATGCATACATGGCTCCTTATTTATGTTGCATCTTGTCCAGGAGCTGCATATTTGAATTATAGGGACCTTGACTTGGGAGTGAAACCGCGACAACACAAGCCATGAAGAAGCGAAATCTTGGGGTTGAGAAATACTTGAAGTTTAATTTTGAAAGACTGGCACGAGTAAAGGCTGAAGTTGATACTAGGAATTTCTTTTGGCACGAGCAAAACATTCCACCTTTGTTTAATTAAAGTTGTCTATCCTTTCAAGGAAACAAAGCAAAAATCTGGTTGAGATCAAAACCACATATTGCAAACGTTCTGGGAATAGTTATACATAACTTGCCTTAGAAGAAGAAAGATATAGTTGGTGTATTCAATTTGGAGATAATATTGACTTCAATCCTAGCCAAGGGAATAGTTATTTTATTCTTAGAGCTAATTATCATATGATTTTCACTATATTTACTTCAATCTTCTTTAAAAAACAAACAAACTCAGAGGTGAATTTTGACCTCCACGTAGATGTTTAAGTTCCCACTTATTATTCCTTGAGAAGATTATACACACTCAAATTAGCCTCTTTTTTTTTGTTTCAAAAGGTTTGTCCAATTTTTCTACCATTAACTTTTATTTTTTAAATTAAGTAGATGGGTAAATCATGTTACGAGAGACGCTTTCAAAAGGAAAAAATTGTGTCATATAGTATGAGTTTCCTTTTTTATTTTTATTTTTTTAAATGGTGATAGATGACACAATTTTTTGTATAAAAAAAATAAAATAATACTTAAAAAAATTGAAATATATTAATATTAATGAAAATAATTTACATTATATAAAGTTAAAATAAAAAATTATTCACTATTGAGAGTCTGTTTTACAAGATGATATTTTTTTGATTCGTTTAGATCTTTCATTTCGTTGGGATTCATGTCTTTCTTATGCATTTGTGTCATCACTATCATTGTCATCATCTTCGAGAGGTGGATTTTGAGGTATAGACATTGTTAGTCTAAAATAATCTATGGATTAAACTTGTTGATATGTTGATGGTGGTGTCTTGGAAGAGGTGTCAAAAATTTGATTCATAATGTATCATATTAAAAGTGTAAGAGACATGTCCTCAAAAATGACTTCTCCATTAAGATTTTGAAGTTAATCCACATAACTGTTCTGATAACTCGACGGAATAAGATATTGATAACTCAACGAATTTGGTTGATGATAACTTCCTAGACCAGGTTGGTGGGACCAACATATGGATAAGTTAGTTGAGGTATTTGATATTGTTGTTCTTCCTGTTTTATATCATACTAATGAGAAAATTATTTAAAATTAATATTTATGACAATAATATAACTAATTAAAACAAATAATAATGATACTTACTTCATTATCAGTATGTTGTGTTTGTTGAGTGAAAATCCATCCCATTGTGCGTTTAAAATATCATTACATATACAGTGTATTTTCATGTAAATATCAATTTTTTTTAAACTGTTGATCTTTAATTAATCGATTATGTCGGTCGTTTCACAATACAATCAACTATTGATGATACTGTGGTCAAACTGTATTTATTTTGCCCCTCATATTTACCTTATGAAGTTCATGTAAGTTGTGAAACAAATAAGATGTACGATAAAATATGATGTAGGATAAACTTCAACATCTATTAACTGTCGTAGGACACTTCTACAATATGAAGTATATATAAATTGTACAATGAAATACAACTATATTATTTTAAAATAAGATATGTATGCATGGATGACAAATATATGTCATAATAACTCTTTTAGTTGTAGTTGATCCAACGTGTAGTGTACTACATGTATGATGTATGTAGGGGTAGTTGACCTGTGTTTAGGTTGAAACAACCTAAGTTCAAAAACAATTTGTAATTTCATGTATATATATTGTATTATATATAAAAAAAAGGTTATATCTTCTTGCTAGGGGAAAGCCAAATCGTGCATAAACTTCTTCATCATTTAAATCTTCAACAAATGCAGTAAGTCATGTAATTCAGTTCCATGTCTAGCATTGAAAGTAATGTACAACATCCAATATTTTCTTGATGATGGTCAACCTCATGGTCTAATGCTCGACAAAGTGGAGCAAGCACAACAGATCCTAACTATAGTTAAGTATAACAATTACGTCGTGCAAAAGTAAAAGATACATAAAATGTACTTTAGAAGCCGATGTATCAAGCATCAATAAACTTTCTATAATGCATAACATGTAAGCTTGAGCATGTTGAGCAATAATATCGTCATTTACGTTATTAAGAAGTTGTTGGAATATTGCATTCAATCAGGAAAGTTTAATCATGTTTTCTTTTACCACTCCATCAGTGGATTTGACCCTAATAAAGGTTGACAAAAATATGTCAAATCATCACTATTGAGATCAGTGACAAAAGTTGATACTCTGGATTCTCCAATGATTAGAAGTGTTGGTTTACGTGTATAGTATTCTAATTTAGGTGAAATTATTTATGAAAAAATGTGCTTCTAGTTAATGGAGATAGCGGTAAGTACAATTAAACATTTTTATATTAAGTAAGATTATAAATATTCTGTAGTTGAGTCAAAATCTAATAGATATGTCATTGGTTGTATCCGTTACTGAGAATAAATGTTAATAGATACTCGGAGCTTCACTTAGTGAAATTAAACAACAATGAGAGATATAAAAAATTGAAGTAAATAAAAAATGTTTGTCAATTGAGTTATTTATTGGTTATCAAAATTTAAAATAAAATAAAAATTTTCATATTATTTATGAATTGGTAAAAGAAAATTTCTTTATTCCTATCAAAACCTTGATTGTAGGAATTAAAACTCGTCATGGTAATTTAATTATTTATAGAAAAAGTCTGGAAGAGTCACTTGTCATGATTTTTGGTGACTGGAAAGAATCATACAACCATTTTTCTAGATGGTTCCAAACTGTTTAACAAACTCTACCCAATACAATTGTCCAATATATGATTATCCTTTCTTTCATAAAATAAGTGCACGATTCATCATGTTATACTGTACAACATGTTTTTTTGTCGTTCAAGTCATGTATTGAAGGATTTAATCATTGCAAGCTAGTAATTCAAGTTGACGAGACATTCTTGAAGATATCAAATGAAACTTTATTGACAACTATTGCACTTGATGAAAATCAAAATTTATTTGCATTAACATTTGTAATAGTTGAAAGGGAGACAAATAAAACTTTAATTTGATTATTCCAATTGTTAAAATAATATGTTACACCTCAACAAAATTTGTGTATCATAATAGATAAAGGAACAACCATATCAGCAGCATTACAAGAAGTTGTATGGGACACAAATCAATCAATATATTACATTTGACATGTAGCTTCCAACTTGAACAAGAAATTCAAGAAGAATGTCTTGTTGAAAAATCAAATAATTAGCATGAGTATTATACATTTCAAACTCTCTTACTAATGAAAATGATCGGTCTTTTTATACTTATCCAAATTTTATTTTAGAACCAGTTATGTGATGTAAATTAGGAAGACCTATCATAACACGCATCTATATCGAAATAGATCGCTCAAATCCAAATAAAAAAAATGTTAGGATAATAATTATTAATATATTTCTTACAATTTTTTTTTACTTTAATTTTGAAATTATTAATTTATAATAAAATATAAACAATTATTAACTAAACTCGTGCGGTGTATGATTTATATATATAAAAAAATTCTGACTACATGACTCCACTTCAGAATTAAAATAATGTCATGTGACATGATTTTTTTAAAAATTAAACCAATAAATCGTCCCATCTAACCTGATTTTTTCTTATCAACTCGTCTCCTATGATTTAATTTTTGTAATATTTTTAAAAACTACATCAATTTGATAATTACAATCTCAAATTGCACGAGTTTGATAAAAAATCCCTCGTATTCATTTAATTTTGCGATTTATTTGATGTTTACATCTTTATAAAAAATTAATATTCGAATCACTATTAATGAAAGCACGTTCTTTTAAAGTGATGAAATGGTTGGTGAATGTTTAGAGAAATCGAGGATGAATCTAAAAAAATAAAAAAATCTAATTCGTTAAGTATCTGTTTATTTTGTACGATTTATTGAAAAACACAAAAGATTTAATTGTACATATGTAAGATTATTTTAGCAATATTTTAAACAAAAAGATTGCAAAAATGGAGATAAATAGTTAGTTTGCAATCTTTGCATATAACACGAAGCAAAGAAAAATAGTAACGATTGAATTATGTAATTTGTTTATACATTTTATGATTAAAAATATTTCTAGAATTGATTATCAAATTCTTATAATCCATTATGGGTTTGTTATTTCTTTTAAAATAATAAAAATAACAAAAAATTATTATTAATAAATATCTTACATTATTCCTTTCCCACAGGTAGCGTACCACTTGCTCACTTTTTTCTTTTCTGCGAATTGTTAGTCTTCGTGGTTGAATTTTGGCTTCCAAAAAAGCATATGGAGCATGTGATTAGTTGTATTACATGTTTCAAGCTGAATCATATCTTTGATATGTTTTCCCAATCATTATTATATAATGCATTTGTAAGAGCACAATTTTATTAAATTTTTAAACTTGCGTAATCAATTAAATTCATCACTGTCGGCTGAGAAAACATGAAATTACGATCAAGCCTTAAAGATGGTTGTGTGAAGCTGTTCTTGGTCAAAGTGTGGCCACCATTGTTACAAGTCAACTCAAGCTTCATTGACCATTATTTATAAGTTTTTCAAGATTTTCTAATTTTATCTTACGATTTTTCGTCGCTAAAATTTTATTAAGATCAAAGATATTTCTTACTTATTCTACCTATTTTATCTATCCAAATTTACAGATTGCATACATTAAATAAAAGTAGGATACTGAATCTTATTTAATGCATATTAATTTAATAATAATATACTTTATTATTTTATTATTAATAAGAAAATATCAAATTATTATACTATTAAAAATATATATTATTTACTATCTAAAATAGTTATGTAAATAAAATATTTTTTTTACAAGATGTAAATTTCTTTATTGTTCTTCTTTTTTTTTTTTCTTTTACTAACTTAAGCTGAATGTGTGAATCTTTTTTTCTTTTTCAACGCTATACTTAATTCATCACAACATAACTAAATACAAGTAAATATTTTCCATTGCTTTTTCTTTTTTTTTTCTTCTTTTCATTATTGTTAATTAGTTTATTTTTATATTTGGATTAAATCTGGTCATGGTTGAAAATTTAGTTTTTATTTAATTTTATTTTTCTCTTATTTTATTACTTAACTTTTTCAAAAATAAACTATAACGTTTTATAAATATTAAAAACAAGAATTTATCGAAGAAAAAACTAGTTAAATGTGACATTTTTTTATGTGAATTATTAAGAATAAACAATACATCATTCTAAATTTTTTTATCTTAATAAAAAATTATAAATAAGAGATTTTTTTAATAAACTGACTAAGGTGTATATATATATATATATATATATATATATATATATATATATATATTTGTTAATTTTTATTTTTATTGTGATAGTTCAAAAATATTAGATTTAAAAAAAATCAAATTAAAAGAATATCAACTCACATATGTTATTTTATGTAATTCTAATTTCTTGAAGATATGAGTAGATTTTATTTCTATCGAATCTAAAAAAATAATAATTACATTTTTATGATAATTATTTTTATAATAACAATAATTTTAAATTAATATATAAGAAGCATAGGTTATAAAAAGTACACTAATAATTTTTTAAAATCAATATATTTTAAAATGTCCATAGATGAAATAAATATTTTAAAATATAAATACATTTAATTAATCAAAAATAATATTTAATCATTTGAAAAATACACTAAACTTTTGAAGGGGCTGTTTGAAATTCATACAGAGTGTTTTACACGGAGAATCTCACCTTCATCTGATACATGAATTCAGAAAGAAGTAATGGATGAATTAGAAACACACACCCATTATTTTGAGGTGTGGAAGTTTAGTTCTTATGTGGATTAAATAGTGTTGTTTTGCGTAAAAGAATATATGATCGAAATGAAAAAGTAATTATAGTCCATGACGTTGATTTTTCACCTTTTAGGACATCAAACAAAACCCATCGCATTTAACGCTGCACGTTGATTAAGGGAAAACAAAGGAATAATTTTTGACAGATTATGCTTTTAAGACTTTTACAAAAGTCAACTTTTTTACTATACAATGATAGATAGAGTCATATAATATTACTCTCTACGTTATTTTATTTGTTGAAACTCAGTAGTCCCACGTCATCCAACAACCAAAGGAAGATAATCAATCGTAAATGTTTTTATCATTTTAAATATATAATAATATCTAATATCTACTGTGCAAATAATAATAAAATATTAATAAGGATTTCAAATTTCTTCGAATAAAAAAAAATATTATCAATGAAAGAGTTACCAAACAAAAGATGTAGATGATTACGGCTCTCTTACATGTCAAAAGTATGATCTAAATGCATGAACTCAAAATATAGGTATTTTCTCACTATCTACATTTTTATGGAATAACTCATTATCCAAAACTTAGACCCATCATTAAAAATTTATAATCCCAAAACGAATGAATTGTATTTTAAAAAACTTCATCTTTAAAGGACGTGAACAAGTCATGAGAAGAGGAACGTTAAAAGAAGATTCTATAATTTCATCAAATACCTTTCGCGTCGGAAGAAAAACTCGTTTATGACAATTCTCACGTTTCCTTAGGAGCAAAAGTGGACAAAGACCAACACGTCCCAAACACTCCTCTAGTAGTGCATATAAAAACCGCAATCAACCCTCCCAAGTCACCCACACAGACATTCACAACCGACAATGGCAAAACCGTGTTTGCCCTGTTTCTCTGCGGCTTTTCTTCTTCTAACTGTAATCACTCTTTCATCGGCACAAACTCCAGATTCCTCGTCACTCTACAACAATTTCCTTCAGTGTCTCACACAACACACAAATTCCTCAACCCAACTCTCCAACATAGTCTTCGCCCAAACTAATCCTTCCTTTCCCACCGTCCTCCAAAACTACATCCGAAACGCGCGTTTCAATACTTCTCAAACGCGCAAGCCATTACTTATCGTCACTCCCCTCCAAGAATCTCACGTCCAGGGCGCTGTATTATGCGCCAAAAGCGTTAAGGTTCAACTCAAAATCAGGAGTGGAGGTCATGATTACGAGGGTATCTCGTACATCTCCGAGGAACCCTTTATCATCCTCGACTTATTCAATCTTCGCGCAATCACGGTGGACATAAAAAACGAGGTTGCAGTTGTCCAAGCTGGTGCCACGTTGGGGGAGGTTTATTATAGGATTTGGGAGAAGAGTAAAGTTCATGGATTTCCTGCAGGGGTGTGTCCCACTGTTGGTGTCGGTGGGCATTTCAGTGGAGGAGGATATGGTAACATGATGAGAAAATATGGCTTATCTGTTGATAATGTGATTGACGCTCAAATTGTTGATGTGAAAGGAAATGTTCTTGATAGAAAATCCATGGGGGAGGATCTATTTTGGGCTATTAGAGGAGGTGGAGGAGCGAGTTTTGGTGTCATATTATCGTTTACTATAAAGCTGGTTCCCGTGCCTGAAACCGTGACCGTTTTCCGTGTTGAGAAGTCTTTGGAAACGAATGTGACTGCAACTGACCTTGTCGTGCAGTGGCAGCAGGTGGCACCAAATACCGACGACAGGCTTTTCCTAAGGCTTTTACTGCAGCCAGTGAGTTCCAAGGTTGTGAAGGGAACGAAAACTGTTAGAGCCTCGGTTGTGGCCCTGTTTCTGGGAGGGGCTGGTGAGGTTGTGTCGATTTTAGAGAAGGAGTTTCCGCTTCTTGGGTTGAAGAAGGAGGATTGTACTGAGATGAGTTGGATTGATTCTGTTCTGTGGTGGAACGATGACGAGAGTTTGAAAAACGGTGGCAAACCAGAGACCCTATTGGATCGGAATCTGAACTCTGCTGGTTTTCTGAAAAGAAAATCTGATTATGTCCAGAAAGCCATTTCAAGAAGCGGGTTGGAGTGGATATTTAAGAGGATGATTGAGCTGGGAAAAACTGGGTTCGTTTTCAATCCTTATGGAGGGAAAATGGGAGAGATTCCTTCTGACGCGACAGCCTTTCCTCACCGTAAGGGAAATCTCTTCAAGATTCAGTATTCTGTGAACTGGGATGATCCTTCGCCTGGTGCGGCTCAGAATTTCACGAATGAGGCCAAGAGGCTGTACAGTTACATGACTCCTTTTGTGTCTAAGAATCCCAGAAGTGCTTTTCTGAATTACAGAGACCTTGATATTGGAGTGAATAACTTTGGCAAGAATAGCTTTGAAGAAGGAGAGGTTTATGGGAACAAGTACTTCAACGGCAATTTTGAGAGGCTGGTGAACATCAAGACCAAAGTGGATCCTGAAAACTTTTTCAGGAATGAACAGAGTGTGCCTGTACTTTCGAGCAAAGCATAGGAATCATCGGCATACAGCGAAGAATATTGGTTAGTTAGGTTTTAGTGCTACTTTTTTATCCTATAGGCTATCGTTGTATTTGAATGGTTGAATTTTCCAATTACTGATTCGATTATTATATGGTTGAATTTCAGAGTTTGGAGGTATATGTTTATGTCTTTTATTTGAACCAATCATCTGCTTTTGTCGGGGCGGTTGGAAAATGAGTTATGAATATAATATGAGAGTGAAGGAGAAGTGGAGAATGGTTGAATTTTCCGAATTATGCTTGCGTGACTGGTGGAACTCTTCCTTTTCATGCTCACCACATCTTCCGTGTGTGTGTGTGTGGTTCTTATTTTGTGTTGTCTTTTTTGTCATTGAATTTCTTGTGATTTTTGTCCCTCATTTTTATTTACTTTAAACCACACATTCCAAGTTACCAAGCGATTTGTCACGGGAATCGTTTCATACGCAAATAACTAATTTATCAAAAATGAAAAATTAGTTAATTTAGCTAATACGAATTTCAATAATAATATGACCCTGGGACAGTTTTATATTCAGTGTTTGTTAAATTAAGCAAATCAAGTTTCCAAATCTTGTAAAAGTCTAACCACAAATTTTACGTATTAATAAGGGTTTAATAGGATTTTAAATAATAATTATTTTATTATATTTTTATCTTATTTTAATAATTATTTACTTTTTATATTTATAATTTTTACTGTAATATGAAAATAACTTTTATTATTATTATTATTATTTTTAAATATTAAGAATAATAAATTTATTATATTATAAAATTATTATTTTATTAAACCTAATGAAACCCGATTGAATTTTAAATCCTAAACGCGTGTATTCATGGGATTTAGTGACCTATTTTAAAACATTGGTTTAAGTTATAAAATTAAGGCGGATACGAATATATTAGAATAGAATACTTAAATTTTAAAATTATAGATTTCGTTATATTATTATTATTATTGTTATTATTACTATTATTATTATTATTATTATTATTATTATTATTATTATTATTTTAAATACTTGCCCTGCCCTATAAAAGACATAATATGTACCGTGAGATTTATCAATAACTAAGTTAATTTTTAATATCTAAAATTTCATCCTCTCATACATCTAAATAAAATATTTTTATATTACATTTATATCGCAATTTTTTAAAATTCCTTTTCATATCTGAAGTGTAACATTTTTAGTTTGGTAATTTTTTTTTAATTTTTAAGAATATTATTTCATTTTGACTTAAATTATTCTCAATATTTGAAATTTAAATTATTATTTTATTTCGACTTAAATTATTTTTAAGGTTAGAAAGATAATAAACTAAGGAAATTAAATAATCTTTTGATTTAATATTCAATAGGTTTTAAAATTAAAATTCGTAAATATTATAAAATAATACGTGTATTTAAATACTCGCTAAAGAAATCAATTAACCAATTATCCTTCTCTCTCAGTATAAAAAATAAAACAAAAAACATAAAAATCTTAATAAATGTGTATTGAGAATAACTATATATTATAACAGTAATTAATATAATTATAAAATAAATTATAAATAATATAATTAAGAAGAACATGTCTAAGGTATTCTTGAATAGGCAATTTCGAACAATTATATTTATAAAAATGTTATTTTATTTTGCATTTACTTATTTTTAAATCTAAAAATAAAACAGTAGAAGCAATTTTTTTTGTTTTATTTATTATATATAATATTTTTTGTATTGCTGTGCTATTAGTGAAATCATTCATGGATTTGACTAATACTAATTAACCTCTAAACAAACTAATTATCACTTTTAATTCAACGCATCATTCATTCAATATATATATATAAATTTATTAGTCTTGAACCTAAAGATTTTAGGTCAAGAAAAATATTTTTGTTTAGTAACTAGAGTTATCATTAAATTAAATAATTTAATATCCAATCAGATTCAATTGAGATCAAATATATTAAATTGATTTTTTTTTTTGTGATTTGGTTAAATTTAATTCAACTTAATCTTACCCATCTCTTTACATATTGATGTTGAGTTTTATAACTAAATACGACTTTTACGACTCGTATATTTTTTATTTAATGAAATCAAAATTATTAATAATATTAATAATAACAATATAAATATTTTTTAATTTATTTAATTAGTTTATTAATTAGATATATATTTTTAAAATAATAAATTATTAAATAGTATAGTTTATCTTTTAAAAAAATATTCTAAAAATCTAAAAAAATTTAAAATTATAAATTTTAACATTTAAAAAAACTATGATCTACTTTATCTAATTCCATCCGTTTAGTCAATAAATTTGTTCAAATTCAAATCAATCCAACCTGTAACGACATTTACGTAAGATATATTATTATAAATAAATGCTCGAATATAATAATTTATAATTATAAAAAATAATGAAATAAATATATTTTAACTGCTATAGAAATATCACTCTGTCTTCTGTTAGTTTTTGCACTTTTGTTTTTAATTGCAAAATTGCATAATTTGCTTTGTAGATAATAGCGAAGAACAGAACCACCCCAAGTCAATTTAGAATATCACTTTGTCTTCTGTTATTTGATACCAGTTTCTAATAAACCACTTCAACATGACTTTAGAGGTGGAATGCTAAAAAATGACTCTTAAAAGTGACTTTAGTTTAAATACATGTTTATTTATATACAATTTATAACGTGAAGGAATATGATTACACAATAACAACAATATAAAGTTATCATGAATAATAATTAAAAAAAAAAGTTATAAAAGTAATTTAAACATGTTGAGAAAGATAAAGTCAAGCGAAGGGGAAGAAATGGTTGATTATAGTTTAGTTGGGTTACCTTTTTATAGTTTCTATGGTTTGTCTTTAATATAATGCGACAGAATTAGTAAGGGATTAGAGAAGCGTATAAAAGCGTTGATTCTAATTGTGAGGCTGATGGTAAGCTGAGACATTCCACAAATTCCTTCTATTTTTGTTCTTTCTATTCTCAAATCTTGTGTTTTTCTATAGATATGGTTTTGCAGAGGTTTGTTTCCATGACACTAAACATGACAATGAGAATGAAGAAACCTTGTTTTGGTTATCTCTCTTCTGCTTTTCTTCTTCTTCTTCCAAATTTGTTCACTTTGTCGGGGGCAAAAACAGCCGATGATGTAGTCCACGACTCTTTTCTTAGCTGCCTCATAGAGAACACAAAATCGTCCTCAGCGGAACTCTCCGACATAGTCTTCGCCCAAAGAGACGCCGCCTTCATCAACGTCCTCGAAGACTTCGCCAGAAACAACCGTTTCAAGAAACCCCAGACACCGAAGCCGTCAATCATCGTCGTTCCCCTCGAAGAATCGCAGGTCCAGGGATCTGTAATCTGCGCAAAAGCCAACAAACTTCAAATTAGAATCCGAAGCGGTGGCCATGATTACGAGGGTTTGTCCTACGTCTCCAAGGAACCCTTTATGATCCTCGACATGGTCAAACTTAGCACAATCACCGTCGACGTAGAGAACGAGGTTGCCCATGTCCAAGCTGGAGCCACCACGGGACAACTTTATTATAAGATCTGGGAGAAGAGTAAAATCCATGGCTTCTCCGCAGCGGTGTGTCCCACTGTTGGCCTCGGTGGCCATATCAGCGGTGGAGGGTACGGTAACATGTTGAGAAAGTTTGGTTTAACTGTTGACAATGTCGTTGACGCGAAAATTGTTGATGTGAAAGGAAATCTTCTTGACAAGAAAGGCATGGGAGACGATCTCTTTTGGGCTATTAGAGGAGGTGGAGGAGCGAGTTTTGGTGTGGTGGTGTCGTTTACAGTCAAGCTTCTTCCTGTACCTGCAAAGGTTACCATATTTCGCGTTGAGAAGGGGTGGGATAATAAGACCGCTGACTTTGTGATGGGGTGGCAGAAGGTTGCATCAGTCATTGATAACAGACTATTCATGCGGTTGTTAATGCAGCCAGTAGTAAAAAACCTAAAAGTCGCGATTGTGGCCTTGTTTCTGGGAGGGGCAGATGAGGTTGTGTCGCTTCTGGGGAAGGAGTTTCCGCTTCTAGGGTTGAAGAAGGAGAATTGCGGTGAGGTGAGTTGGATAGAATCTGTCCTTTGGTGGAACGATCCGAAGAGTTTGCAACGTGGTGTCAAACCTGATAGCCTATTGGATCGGAAACCAGACACCGCTATTTTCCTTAAAAGAAAATCTGATTATATTCAGAGCCCTATTTCAAGAGAAGGGTGGGAAACTATATTCAAGGGAATAGTTGAGACGGGGAACACAGGGATTCATTTAAACCCTTATGGAGGGAAAATGGATGAGATTGCTCCTGATGCGACGCCATTTCCTCACCGTAAGGGGAACATGTTCAAGCTTCAGTATACTGTGAGCTGGAGTGATTCTTCAGATGAGGCGGATGAGAATTTCACGAATCAGGCTAAGAAGCTGTTCAATCTCATGACGCCCTATGTCTCAAAGAATCCCAGAAGAGCCTTCTTCTGTTACAGGGACATTGATACTGGAGTGAACACCTTCGGTGAAAATAGCTACCAGGAAGGACAGGTTTACGGCACCAAGTACTTCAACACAAATTTTGAGAGGCTCGTGAAGATTAAGACTGCGGTTGATCCCGATAACTTTTTCAGGAATGAACAGAGCATCCCTGTGCATGTGCAGAAACAAGAGAATCAAGAGAAACAAGAGAATAAACAAGAGAATCAACAAGAGAATAAACAAGAGAAACAAGAGAATCAAGAGAATAAACAAGAGAAACAAGAGAATCAAGAGAATAAACAAGAGAATCAAGTGAATAAACAAGAGAATCAGGAGAAAGAAGAGAATAATAGTCTACTCAGCATTTCTCTCTCTAGTTAGTGGACTTGTTACTTCTGCCATTTTTTCTCTTAACTTTTTTTAGTTCTCTGTTAATGGCAGTCTCCTCATAACATTTTATGGAGCTGAGTTTAAGTAGTAAATAAGAGCTCCTCTTGTATATATATTTTAAAGGATCAATTGTTTTTTTTTTTTTTAATTCTTAATATCTGAGTTTTGTTTTATGTATTTTTTTCACGTTTATAAAATCTTAACATCAACCCAGTGTGTCATAATCTTCGTAATAAAGAGTAGTACTCAATTAGAATTAATTCTACGAATTATTTCACTATCCATCATATTCACAATGTAATTCAACATCTAATTTAATAGACTTCATGTTTTAAGTGAATTTTGATTAATTCATTCCTAGAATTAAATTAATTATATTTTATGATTTAAATTAAATTTTTCATATAATTGTAATATATCATGTTTAATCATGGATTACGGAAAACAAGGTGTATGAAAATCAAATAAAAATAACACGATCAAAATCAAATTCCACTTTTTTTTTTTTATCATATATGTTTTTTTGGTGAATTATGCACTTCTTTGTGAATATATGTTTGATATATTTACACAGCTGTACGAATTAAATTTAAAAGATTGAATATATTGATCAGTTTATAGAATCTTCATATCATGGGTGTTGATTTTGAATGAAGTTGGTCTTGATTATTAACTGTTGTCAAACAATAACAGAAATCACTGGTAACATCTAGAGGGTAAGTGATGAAACTCTTGATATACAGAAAGTTGATTTTCTTAAGTTGATCATACAAACATCTCGAAAACTCTAGGGTGAGTGAGTGCATAGTTATTTACTCACATAAACGTTACATTGCAAGCATAATGTCCGTCAAATTCAACCATTCTTTTCATCGTCTGGTTCCCTGCATCATAATTTTAGGGATACTTTGTTCATTTCTGAAATAGTTTTCAGGGTCAACTACAGTTTTAATCTTCACCAATCTATAGAAGTTATTATGGAAATACTTAATACCATAAACCTCTCTCCTTCTCGGTAGCTATTATTATCATGATGATTGATACCAATGTCAAGGTCCCTATAATTCAGAAAAGCTCTCCTTGGATTTTTGGACACGAAAGGGGTCATATAACTGTGTAACCTTCTAATCTGCGTTATATAGTTATTGTCTGCAGCGTCTCCCGGTTCAGCCCAAGTAACAGCATATTCAATATTGAACAGATTTCCTGCGCGGTGAGGAAATGCTGTAGCATTTGTTGATATCTCATTCATTCTTCCTCCATACGGGTTGAAGACAATACTTGTTTCTCCCAACTAAATCATCCTTTTCCATATCCATTCTAACTCATCTTGGGAAATTGGAGTCTTCACATAATCAGACCTTTTGAGGAACTTTGCGGAGTTGAGTTTTCTGTTAAGTAGAGCATTTGGGTGGGTACCATTTCGAAAACTAGCCCACCAAAGTGCAGACTCAATCCAACTCATTTCAATGCAATTATCTTTGTTTAGACCCAAAATTGGAAACTCCTTCTCCAAAAGTGACACAAGCTCATCTGCTCCTCCAAGAAACAAAGTCACAACCTCAGCTCTAATAGTTTCGTGCTTACCTCCAACGTTGGAATTCACAGGATGCAACTCCAGCCTCATGAAAAGCCTTTCATCCGTGTGCGGTGCAACCTTTTGCCACTGGACAACAAGATCAGTGGCATTTTGCCCAAAGTCTTCTCAACCCTAAAAACAGTAACCTTTTCTGGCACAGGAACCAACTTAATAGTGTATGATAATATGACTCCAAAACTTGCTCCTCCACCTCCTCTAATTGCTCAGAATAGGTCTTCCCCCATAGACTCCTTGTTGAGAATCCTACCTTTGACATCGACAATCTGAGCATCAATGCTGTGATCAATAGATAACCCATATTTTCTCATCATATTGCCATACCCTCCTCCACAAAAATGACCACCAACACCAACAGTGGGACACACCCTGCAGGAAAGCCATGAACCTCACTCTTATTCAACACAGTTTTATCTTTAAGACTTCTAAACAACGTGTGACTTCGTACACGTAGCATAATTAGAGTGAATTCTTAAATTCGAAATATTACCCGTTTTTTAATTCTAGTTAATCACTGTTTTATCTTTAAAAAATATATCAATAAATTAAAAAATATATATTTAAATTACCATTTACCTCAGGGAGTAAGTGAGATGAAATTTCGTGCTTAAAGAATAATTAAAGTCAATATGATTTTATTACAAAATCATTTTATATTACACGATTTCTTTATTTAAAATCCAATAAATTTAATCTTTTTTGGTAATTTAAAAACTATTTCACCCATATCAATCAAATCCAAGTATTTTGAACTCATTTTGGTGAAAAGCCGCTATTATTTATGTAAACACTAATGCGACTTTTGTTCATAGAGAGGTTAATCCAATAGCTCATTCTATTGGCAAGACGTCCAGATCTTTGGCTAACCCATTAATTTTTAGAACATTCATACTTGTATTCATGCCATTATTTTGATTATCATTCTGTTGTAAAAAAATATACATAGCACCCTAAGGAAGCAAATTCCTCACTGGAATGCTTTGCTCGGACGTACTGGAATGCTTTGTTCATTCCTGAAAAAGTTGTCGGGATCCACCTTGGTCTTTATATTCACGAGCCTATCAAAATTGTCATTGAAGTACTTGGTCCCATAAACCTCCCCTTCTTCAAAGCTATTATTACCAAAGTTGTTGACCCCTATATCAAGGTCTCTATAAGCCAAAAAAGCACTTCTGGGATTCTTAGACACAAAAGGAGTCATGTAATTGTACAACCTCCTGGCCTCATTCATGAATTTCTGAGCTGCATCAGGTGAAGGATCGTGCCAGGTCACAAAATACTGAACCTTGAAGAGGTTCCCCTTACGGTGAGGAAACGGTGTCGCATCAGCAGGAATCTCTCCCATTTTCCCTCCATAAGGGTTGAAAGCAAATCCAATGTTTCCCAACTCAATCATGGTCTTAAATATCCCCTCCAACTCATCTTTTGAAATGGCTTTCTGAACATAGTCAGATTTTCTTTTGAGAAAATCAGCAGAGTTTAGATTCCGATCCAATAGGGTCTCGGGTTTGTCACCATTTTTCAAACTCTGACCATCTTTCCACCACAGAACAGAATCAATCCAACTCACCTCGATACAATTCTCCTTCTTCAATCCAAGAAGCGGAAACTCCTTCTCCAAAATCGACACAACCTCATCTGCCCCTCCGAGGAACAAAGCCAGAACCGAGGCTCTAATGGTTTGTCCTCCCTTCACAACATTGGAAGTCACTGGTTCCAATAAGAGCCTCATGAAAAGCCTGTCATCAGTTGTTGGCGCCACCTGCTGCCACTGCACCACAAGGTCAGTGGCAGTCACATTCGTTTCCAAAGTCTTCTCAACGCGGAAAACGGTAACCGTTTCAGGCACGGAAACTAGCTTTATAGTAAACGATAATACGACACCAAAACTGGCTCCCCCACCTCCTCTAATACCCCAGAACAGATCCTCTCCCATGGATTTTCTGTTCAGAAGATTTCCTTTGACATCAACAATTTGAGCGTCAATAACATTGTCAACAGATAGACCATATTTTCTCAACATATTACCGTAGCCTCCTGCACTTATAGTGCCACCAACCCCAACAGTCGGACACACCCCTGCGGGGAAGCCATGAACTTTACTCTTCTCCCAAATCCTATAATAAATCTCTCCCAACGTGGCACCAGTTTGTACCACGGCAACGTCATTTGTTATGTCCACTGTGATTGTGCGAAGGTTGAACATGTCGAGGATGATAAATGGTTCCTTGGAGACGTAGGAGATACCCTCATAATCATGGCCTCCACTCCTAATTTTGAGTATAACGTTGGCGGTTTTGGCGCAGATTACAGCACCCTGGACGTGCGATTCTTGGAGGGGAGTGACGATGAGTAACGGCTTTCGTATTTGGGAGTTGTTGAAACGCGCATTTCGGACGTGGTTTTGTAGGACAGTCGGGAAGGAAGGGTCGGTTGGGGCGAAGACTATGTTGGAGAGTTGAGTGGAGGAATTTGTGTGTTGTGTGAGGCAGTGAAGGAAAGTATGATAGAGTGAAGAATTTGAGTATGGTGGTGCCAACGAAGTGGCAACTGTTAGAAGAAGAAATGCAGCAGAGAGATAGACCAGACAAGGTTTTGCCATGGGGTTCTTATGAGAATTTTCAAGGTGTTATATGTATGGGTATTTCTGATTTATTCATCTACTCTATTTATATTATATAGAAAAAAATATTATAAAATATTAAATCATAATAATATCTCTATCTTAATTAATATCTAATTTAAATAAAAGCTAACTCAAGCATGATATAATCAAACTTTTTCTTTCATTTTATTTGTCTTTTTCTTTTACTTTGTTTGTTTGTTTGTAGGGATGTGATTGATAATTAGCTAAACACACGTCTTCTTGGCGTGTGTAATCATTTTTTTATATCATCTTTTTAATTTTAAGAATTAAAATTTAATATATTAACTTTTACATATAAAAAATATTATATATGAGAAAGAGATTGATGAGAGAAAATATTTTTTTAATTATTTTTATTTATTTCATTTATATTTGTGAGAAAAAAATTGAAGAAGATTGAAAGAATGAAAAAGAGAGAAATAATTTTAATTTATAAAAAATTAAGAAAAATGTATGGTGAAAGGAGTAAATGAGAGAGAAAATGTAAGATAAATAAATGTTTTATTATATGGTTTGTATATTATTATAGATAACGTGTTCTATTTTTTAATCGTAAATTATAAATAACTCTTCTATATCTATCTTTGTTTACTTGTTGGATATATAGAACTGTTTGACTAAGGATAACATAAAGGCGTCAAAAGACAAAATAATAATTTATGACTCACAAATCTTAAAATTGGAAGAATAATAAATTCCCCATCATTGTCCTAAAAGTTCAAAGATTTTTTTTATGACTCATCTTTACAAATGTAAAAAAGTTTAAGGAAGTTAATAATAAACACTTTTGACCGGATTTTTTTATTACTTGTATTCTTTATATTCTGACGGACAATAATATCCTTTTTTTTTCTTCTGGATAATAGGTTATTCATTGCAAATTAATAATTGATTATGCTATTATATTTAAGTAACCAACATGGTTTTCCTGCTATACTCATCGATTTTTTTAACTAATTTCTATATACTTCCTCTAATTTTTAATACAAGATATAGTTTTAACAAAAAAATAATGCTTTATAAGATATTTTATATTTTTTATGAAGCATACCAAATTTATTATATTTATTTATTTCTATTCAATATTATGAATTATGTATATTTTAATAAAAAATTAAAAGATACTATAAATAATAATAAGTATTTTCAACACAATCAACCAAATATAGTTATTTTACTAATAAGTATGATTATGTTAGAAATAACTTAGATTAAGAAAGTAATAAAATATAAAATACAATTATGTTTTTTTAATTTATAAAATTACATGTCATATGTCATAGATAAATTAAAATTCAGAGATTTATTGGAAACGTTATTATACATGTTATTCTTATTTGATATCTTATCTTGTGGTGGATAAGAAATTTTGGGTTGATATTTTTGTTAATGTAAACCTGATGAATATGGTTTGTATTATGTCCACTTATCATATTAATCATTTTTTATTTTTTTATTTTAAAATAGTGAGAAAAATTATTTATAAATATATATCATTTGTAAATATAAGATTATATTAATTTTTTTATCAATTATATCATATTTTTAATCATAATTATTAAAAATAATTTTAGATAAACTAAATTTTAAAATAATAAAATATTAATAAAAAGTACTTACAAATTTAATAAAAATTAATATTTATAATATGTGTAACTTAGTCTTAAAAGTAATATCTTTTTAAATATACATGGTTAGTTATCATTATTATCAAAATCGATATGGATAATTGGATCAATTGAAATCGAATTAAAAATAGATTAATTTTTTAAATAATCGGATTTTTATTAAATTAAAATAAAATATGTAAAATTAAAAAATTGATTAAATTTTCTGTCAAATCATAAAAAAATGATTAAATTTTGTATCGAATCATTAACTTATAATTATATTAATTTTAAATTAGTTTTCTTTCATATTAATTATATTAATTTTAAATAATAAATATTTTATTATATTTTTATCTTATTTTAATAATTATTTATTTTACATTTTTTTAATATATTTTATATTTATAATTTATCACGATCATAATAATAACTTTTATTTATATTATTATTTTAAAATATTATTATTAATAAATTATTATATTATAAAATATTATTTTGTTAAAACCATATAAGTATGAGAAAAAAAATATCGATAGAAACAAGTCTGTGATTAAATTACATTGGGAGCAGTAAAACTTGATAGAGGGAGTAATTTTTGTATCCAGGTACATTTAATATGCTTTAAATCTTCACCCTTCACATACTTTTATTTTTATATTTCTCTCTTTAATTACTTTTCACAAGTACCAAAAATAAAAACATAATTAAATTTTTGAAGAAAGTTAAGTTATGCTTAAAAATAAGTTGAAATTCATTCAAGAAATAAATTTAAATAATGAAAGTATATTCCAACGGAGTTTTTAATTAAAATTAATTAAAAATAAAATTAAATATTTTATTACGAGTCATCTAATTGAGTTGTTTAAAATTTGGTTAAAATAATTTATTTAAGTAATTTTTTTTTCAATCTTAAACCATTTTCTTATAATATGTGATTTATAATAAAATATTTACTTTTCCTAAACAATTTCGGTAACAACTTTCTTTAAAGATATTTTGATATTTTTAGATTATAAATAAATTAAATATATATTTTAAATTAAATAATATTTTAATATATTTTAAATTATTTTAGACTGATATAAAGATATTAAAATTATAAATAATTTTGTTAATTACTTAGAGAATAATTTTTACGATAGATAAATATCGTAGATTTTGTGATTAAATCTTTGTAATATATTTATTTCTCTAAAAATATGATAATGTTATGATTTATTTAATGATACATTAATTTACTAATAGTATGCTTAATTAGTTTAAATTTTTCTAAATTTAATTTTAATTTAAATGAATGCTGACGTAGTGATTACTAAATATGAAAAGAAATTTTGAAAGTCAATTATTTATTAAAAATATTAAATTTTATAATGTTCATTATAAAAAAATATTAATCTCTAGTTAATTAAATAATGTATTTATAATTTTTGAATTATTTATCTCAATTTAAAATATATTAAACATTTTATTTATTTAAAATATGCATTTTATTTAAATGCAAAGTAAATTATATTATTATTTAAAATAAATTATAGAATATATTTTAAAATTATTTAATTTTTTGAGGAAGTAATTAAAGAGAGAAATATTAAAAAAATAAACATGTACTTATACCATATAATAATTTTTTTAATCGAACCTTTTGCTTTATATTTATATATATATATATATATATATATATTATTTTTTTTTCTCTTTTTCAATGGAGGATGTAAATCATGATCTTTCCAAATAACATAAATTATAATAAAAATATTAATCTTATCCATAAGAGATATTCAACATTGTGATGCAATATAATGAGTGTTTCAACATATAAATTATCCAAATTTAATTTATATAAATTATAATAAAGTGTATCAGATCCAATAATACAACTACGTTAAAATAAACTGAAATAACTTTTTTGATTCAAAACATACGTAAGTACTATGTTCACCTTTCTTTTTGAACCAAGTTTTATGCTTTAAATTGTCCTTCTGAAAATGGTCAGACTTCCCGTAGAAATGATATTTGTCATTTTTCTTCTGAAGTTTAGTAGAGGACTTATTAATTTTTAATGATCATTTACCCTTTTTATGTTTCTTAACAATTTTCTTTTCAGCTCCTTGATTTTTCAAATAATGAATATAGTGACTTCCTAGATTCTTGAGTTTAGTCTTCTTCTAGTTCATTTGGAACGATCCATTCTCAGACGGTAAAGAGTTCAAAATTAACTGCAAAAGAAAATTTTCTTCTACTACCATTCCAAGAGACTTGAGTCTTGCTGCTATATTTGTCATCTCAATTACTTGTTCATGCATACTACGAGAATCATCGAACTTTATGGTGGTCAACGTACTCATCAATGTCCTAGTGAGGGATTTGTCACTAGTTTGAGAGAGCTCTTCCACAAATATCATAAACTCTTTCGTGTCCTCATTTTTAGGAAGAAGAGACTTAATATTGTTAGCTATACTCGTTCACATAAATATAAGACTAAGTTTGTTTGACCTTTCTCAAACTCTATGATGAATTTCTATTCATTACTACTAGCATCAATCATGACCGTCATTTTTTCAACTTGGAAAACCAAATTAAGATCTAACACACCTAAGTAAAATTGGACTTGTTAACTACAATCAGGAAAATTTAACTTATTAAAGACAAAATAAGACAAAAATTACACTTGTTAACTCCAGTCAAGAAATTTTAATTCATTAAAGACAGAAACAAATGTAAAGATGAAAGAACAAATACTGCAATTACATTAAAGACCGGAATAAATGAAGTGAACGAATATAAAGATAAAAGAACAAATACTACAATTAACATATGTCTAACATTAATACTTTGAGTCATAAAAATTAAACATAAATACAAATTTAAATATAAATAATTATTTTATGCATACTAAGAACATCTTCGAAGGAAGTTTTAACAAGAGTTGCTTAAAAATAAAATTAAATATTTTATTATGGGTTTCACATTTGAGTTATTTTAAACTTGGTTATAGTTGTTTATCCAAACAACTTTATTCTAATTTTAAGCAATGAAACCATAATAAAATATTCACTCTTATTCCTAAGCAATTCTTGGTAACAACTCCTTTTGGAGATCCTCTAATATTCTCCTTAACATTATTGATAATTAAAATAAACATTCACTAGAATCACCTTTTAGTATATAAATAAAACTAATGAGAGACAAAAAATTATCTACATTCATGTTCATTATATAATTAATGACAACTAATCAATCTTTGGGTGATCCTGAAATATCTTATAATAATGAACTTCAATTAATCCATAAAACAATTATTCATAATTTTAACATTGATATTATGGATAATTGAAGTAAAATCATTAATAATTTAAAATCAAATAACCTTAAAATTTTAATAATAATTAACAAAATTTATCATACTTAATTTCAAATAAATAATATCTTTAATTGTTATTAACCATACCATATTTCATTAATTTTTTAATTTAATAATAACAAAACATACACATTATTGCAAATTAAAATATATTATTCATGTAATAAAATACAAAATTATTAAATTTGTCAATTACTCTATGGGAATTAAAATCATTGCACAAGGTAATTCACGTTTTCACATTCACAATTCAATTGCACTGCACAAGACCATTCACATTTCACATTCACAATTCAATTGCAGATTGAGCCACTTATCACATCACAAATCAATTGCATACTGGTGTACATTAATTGGTTTCGCACGTGAATTAGTTTCACAAGTACTTGCAGGTTATTCACCGTTCACATTCAATTTACGAGATTTTGAAATTTCTTGATACAATTGCAAATATTCACAAATAAGTTGCAGCAGAAAACATAGAAAACATAAACTAGGTTTTATGATAATTTGATAAAAAAATTCCTAAATTTATAATTAGAGTTTATCTAAATTTATAAAAAAATTATCTCATAAATCTAATAATAATTATTTTAATATAATATGTAAATTATTTTATAGTTTTTTTACGTTTTTACTTTATTATATAAAATTTCTTTACAAAATCTTAAGATTTATGCAATAACATAAATATAATGAAAATGCGTTTTTAATATTTTTATTCTTCAATATTTTTTTTAATTTATTTTTTATCAAACTTTTTTGATGACTTAAAAAAAATGAGACAAAATCTTAATATGTTTTTATTAAGCAATGTTTATTATTAAATTGATTACAATAAACTTTTATTTTATTTTTATTTTTTATTTTATTATAATTTTTCATAATAACTAATAAATTTTTATATTTTATTAGATATTTTTTATATTTTATTAGATCATATTTAAATTTATTATTATATTTTATTTCAGTAACATAATAAAATTAATTTAATTAATTAATTTTAACACTGGATTGAGTGATATTTAGTGACTCAATTCTGAGTAGAACACCACAAAATTAATAGAACATATAGGAAAATAATAATAATAATAATAATGTATATATATACATACATATTTGTTTATTTATTATATTCTATGTACATTTGTTTAGTTTTGATTTATCTAGTACTACCTTGGATTTTATATTCTAGAAATGTGTAGAAGAAATTAATGAAACCTTGTCTTAGGACTTGGTTGGACGCACTGGAATACCCTGATCATTCCGGAAAAAGTTATCGGGATCGACATTGGTCTTAATATCCACGAGCCTATCAAAATTGGCATTGAAGTACTTCGTTCCATAAACCTTTCCTTCTTCGAAGCTATTGCTACCAAAGTTGTTGACCCCGATATCAAGGTCTCTATAGGCCAAAAAAGCACCTCTGGGATTCTTAGACACATAAGGAGTCATCACACTGTACAGCCTCTTGGCATCGTTCGTGAATTTCTGAGCAGCCTCAGTTGTAGGATCATTCCAGTTCACAGAATACTGAACCTTGAAGAGGTTCCCCTTACGGTGAGGAAAGGGCGTCGCATCAGAAGAAATCTCTCCCATTTTCCCTCCATAAGGGTTGAACACAAACCCGATGTCTCCCAACTCAGCCATGCTTTTAAATATCTCCTCCAACCCATCTTTTGGAATGGCTTTCTGAACGTAATCGGATTTTCTTTTCAGAAAGCTAGCAGAGTTTAGATTCCGGTTCAATAGGGTCTCCGGTTTCTCACCTTTTTTCAAACTCTCTACATTGTTCCACCACAGAACAGAATCAATCCAACTCGCTTCAGTACAATTCTCCTTTGTCAATCCAAGAAGCGGAAACTCCTTCTTCAAAATTGATACAACTTCATCAGCCCCTCCTAGAAACAAGGCCATAACCGTTGTTTTAACCGTTTTCATTCCCTTCACAACCTTGGAAGTCACTGGCTGCAATAAGAGCCTCATGAAAAGCCTGTCATCGGTTGTTGGCGCCACCTGCTGCCACTGCTCCACAAACTCAGTCTCACTCAAATTCGTTTCCAAAGTCTTCTCAACGCTGAAAACGGTAACCTTCTCAGGCACGGGAACTAGCTTTATAGTAAACGACACTATGACGCCAAAACTCGCTCCTCCACCTCCTCTAATAGCCCAAAACAGATCCTCCCCCATGGATTTTCTGTTTAGAAGATTTCCTGTGACATCCACAATTTGAGCGTCAATAACATTGTCAACAGATAAACCATATTTTCTCAACATGTTACCGTACCCTCCTCCACTTATATGGCCCCCGGCGCCGACAGTGGGACACACCCCTGCTGGGAAGCCATGAACTTTACTCTTCTCCCAGATCCTATAATAAACCTCTCCCAACGTCGCACCAACTTGGACCACAGCCTTCTCGTTTTTTACGTCCACCGTGACTGTGTGAAGATTGAACATATCGAGGATCATAAAGGGTTCCTTGGAGATGTAGGAGACACCCTCGTAATCATGGCCACCGCTTCGGACTCTGATTTGAAGTTTGTGTGTTTTGGCGCAGATTACAGCGCCCTGGACGTGCGATTCTTCAAGAGGAGTGAAGATGAGTAGCGGCTTTGGTGTCTTTGAGATCATGTAACGCTTGTTTCTGGCGAGGTTTTGGAAGACGGTGTTGAAGTTGGAGTTGCTTTGGTCGAAGATTATCTTGGAGAGTTCCTCTGAAGCGGTTTTTGTGTTCTGTGTGAGGCATTTATGGAAAGAGGCGCGGATTGCAGGACCTGCGTTTTCTGCCACAGCAAAAGTGGAGAAAGTCAGAAGAAGAAATGCATAAGATAGATTACCCAAACAAGATTTCGTCATTGTGATTTTCGCGTTTAGTGTCATGGAAACGTACCTCTCTAAACCCGTATCTATAGAAAAACGGAAGATCTGAGAATAGAAAAGAACAAAAATAAATTTGCGGAAATGTATCAGCTTACCATCAGCCTCACAATTGGAATCAAAGCTTTTATATGCTTCTCTGATCCTTAACTAATTCCGTCTCATTATGTTGAAGGCAAATAATAGACACTATTCAAAGGTAACCTCATAAGCCATAAAATCTTAAGTAAACTATAATTAACTTTTTCTTCAACATTACCTGACTTCATCTTTTTCAATATAGAATCTTCAAGAAAAGGTTTGGACTGTAGTAATATCTTAACATATAACCTGTATTATCATCAATAATGCTGATCTTTTCTAGATTTATGTTCTCTCACTACAACATTTTATGTTTATAGTAATTGTATATAAATAGTTTTTTTTTTTAATAATCACTCTTTTGGTATCATTGAAATTAAAAAGAAAAAAAAACAGTGTTATAGTTTTAAAAAATAATTATGCTTTATATATTAAAAAAAAGTAGGTTTATTTAAGGAGTGGAAAGAGAAAAAGAGTAAATAATGATACTTTATATATTATTTTTAAGTTGCATTTTGAGAGGAAAAAATGATATTATTTTTATATTATATGTAATTTTTAATATATTATGCTTAATAATTTTAAAATATATTTAATAATTTTATTGTATTTATATTTGAAGACAAAATCACTATTTATAATATATTAAATCAATCGAATTTAGTTCTTTTTATTAATATATGTGATTAGGTTGGAAATTACTAAGATAGGAAAAAGTATAAAATAAAATTATACATTTTTTATTTATAACTAAAATTTAGAGAACTATTGTGAAAATAATTGTAATATATAAATTGAAACTAATTTTGTTTATTAAGAGATGATTAAAAAAGTTGCTATGATAATTACATAATGGTATAATTAGTATATTAGTAAATATGATACATATATTATATCAAGGATATATATTTAAGACTACTTTTTAAAAAAACATCTTTTAAATTGAACACATGAAACTGTTTTAACAATATTATGTGTAAGCATGTTGATAAAACAATAACTTTTCAAAAATTGGACACGTTAAAAATTAAAACTAAATTACGTTTTATTAAAATTACTATAATATTAAGATTAAATTTAAAACTGTATTACATTTTATTAAGAGTTTTATTCGTGGACATCATACAAATTTTATTTTAGAAATATTTAATTTGTATAATAAGAATTAATTTTAAAAAATACTTTAATAACATGTACATATTAATATATTTTTATGTGCCTTAATACAATTAATGGTATGTGAAATGGAAAAAGAGATACAATCAATTTTTAAGAAAAACTAGGATGGAAAATAGTTAACGTCAATTAATCCGCCTTAAGATTGAATTTGTAATTTTAGTTTGTAGTTTATTTTTTCTGGTTTTGTCTAACTTATCCATCTGAGATCTGATGAATTAGTATGTTTATCTATTTTAAAAAAATATTTAATATAAAAATAAAATAAAAAATTATAATTTAAATATATTTTTTATATTATTAAAATATATAAATATATTCTAATATTATAATTTAAGTTATAAATATTAGTTAATTTAATATTTTTATCATAATTAAATATTTTAACATATAATTATAATGATTTTTGTAATTCATTTAATAAAAATAATTAACAAATAAATATTTTAAATTATATAATTAAAATAAAATTTAAAATATAATATAAAAAAATTTATATATAAAAAGATACTCATCTTTATTTTATTTTTTCTTTCAGGTTAACTCGTCTCATTTTTTACTTCGATAAATAGCATGGATTAACCTAGTTTTCCATATTTATAATAAAAAAAAAAACTAAAATATAACGCAATTAAAGGAGTTAAATAATGTTTAATGAAAATATTACCTTACAGACACATTTTGCTATTACAAATGTCTTCTGATTTTTAACCAAGTTGTTTAGGAATTTTTTTTTAAATTGATTCTATTAGATTAAAAAATTGATTCTTTAATATTTTGCTTATATATATAATAATAATAATAATATTTTTTTTAATTTATTGACTTGAATGTAGTATTCTCCATTGCTTGATGAGAATATATAATTTAATAATAGTAATTAGAGATGCAGAAGGAAATTATTAACTTTATTTTATGTTTCTCTTTTGATTAGTTTGAACACTTCATATTCTTTTGGTTTAAAAAATGAAAATTTGAAATTCAAGAGACAAGCGTATTTGGTAATATTGATCTTTCTAATACAGAAGAATATTAGAGTTGAAAAAAAATGTGTAAATAGGTAATGAATTATCATTATTTCATGATCAATAATTAAATAATTAATTATCATAATGGTAATTTATTATACAAGTGATTATTTTTTTCTTTTTTCCTTTTCTCCCAAGAGTATGTGTTCCCACTTTCTCATCACACGTCACTCCCAAAATGCTCCCATTCCCACACCACCACATGTTCCTTCCAACCCCACGCTGCCTCTTGTAACTAAAACCAAATTGAGTTCAGGTTAATCTAATTTTTATTTACTTAACAATATAATTAACTGAATTAGGTTATGGGATGGAGTAATGTTTTTTTTTTTCTATGTTAACGACAATACTTATGATACATATAAACAATATTGATATTATAAAATATAAAATTATTTTTTATAATAAAATTATCTTAAAACCATGTTACTGAGAGACATGTACAGAGCAATAAACAGCACAAGAGTGGTTATTACAGTGGAGAGAGGGGTGTGTGGGAGTGATAGAGTAGTAAACATTGCCAAAGGATCATTGGTTGCCCTTCAAGGTTAAGGGTAGAAGTATATATGACCTAAGTAGTAGGAGTAGCATGAAGTGCATCCTTCTTCCTTTTGTTCCCTTGATGCCATCCAAGTTGATGGTTGCAAATTCTGTGGCGTGATCTGAACTTGGGATTCATATTGAAGTGGAGCAGAAGAGAAGAGAATGGTAGGTTGGTGGTGAAGTAGTGAGGTGATGTTAGTGGCTTTTGTAGGTGATTCATAGGGAAAGTGGAGGAAAGGATCTTCCTCGCATATGCCTTACTCTTTCTGTTTGCTTTTCTCCCATTCACTCCTTTTTATAACATAATCTCACTTCTGCATTTTAGGATTTTACTACAAATATTCTAACCAACCAAATTTATGTGTTAGGATGTCAGCAAACCAACATTTTACTTAGCTATCTGTTCAAATTATTCAATTCATCAACAATCTTATATATATGAATTCGGTTCTCTCTACTATACACCATTTTTCATGAAATAGTTACATTTTGGTATGCTATTTTTGGACCTTGTGAATGGCCCATAATATACGACCAAGGCCCACTACAAGACTTGGACCCAAAATAAAGGTTTAAATATATTTACCCCAAAATATTAATTTAATATAAATGAAGCATGATATTTGTCTTGTAAAATGTTAAATCAATGTACACGAACCATGTTATTGACATACATTTACCAAAAAAGTTAAATTAGTTAATAAGAATGTTTAGAAGCATGCAACATGACATTGTAATTGAAGATGCCTACAATAACACTTTGATTATTTCCTTTAATTTGTTACCAGTAATATTGTGAGTCAACGGTGTAGCTATGCGTTCATTGCAAATGGATAATGGACAAACTATAATCCATGAATTTATCGTCACAAATTGTGTAGGAGTTTCGTCAAGTCTCGGATCTATCATTTTTCTCCTTTCGTCTATGGTTGTTGTATAAAGAAGTAAGGAAGAGAGTGATAAAGAAACGAAAACTAAAGTTCTTCAAAAAAAAAAATGGTGGTTTTTTGTTGCAACAAAGAATGTCATATAATGAAGCTAAAGTAGACAAAGCTATCGTCTTTAGATTAGATGATTTAGAGAAAGCCACTTACCACTTTAACATGAATAGAGTTTTTGGAAGGTGAGGTCAAGGTACTGTTTATAAAGGTGTGCCAGTTGATGGAAGAATTGTTGCAGTGAAAAAGTTGAAGGTGGAAGGAAAAGTTGAAGAATTAATTAATGTTGTTTGGAGACAGAAACTCCCCTACCTGTTTATGAATTCAATCTTAATGGTAATCTTTTTGATTATTTGCGTGACCAAAACAAGGAGTTACCAATGACATGGGAGAAGTGTTTGAGAATTGCCACTGAAATTGCAGGAGCTCTAATTTTTTACTTGCACTCAGCTGCATCTAAACCCATTTTATCATAGAGATATCAAATCCACAAATGTACCATTGGATGAAAAGTATAGGGCAAAAATTGCAGATTTTGGAGCATCCCGAGTAATATCTACTGAAGCTACTCATCTTACAACAGTTTTCAAGGTACCTTTGGTTATTTGGGTCCTGAATATTTTCACACTAGTCAATTTACAGGAAAAGTGATGCCTATAGTTTTGGAGTAGTTCCGCTGAAATTTGTATGGAATTTTCAGTGTTTTTGTATATGTATATTTCTGGAAATTTTAGGATTTTGGATATGTGTATTTTTGATATATCATAAGAATATATTTCTATTCATGTACTTTATGTATATATAGAGTAAAAATATTACAAAATATCAAATATCAATAATATCTCAATCATAACTACCTAAATTAAAATAATAACTTAATATATTTTTCCCTTCTTTTTACCTTCTTTCTTAAAAGATAATAAAATCTCTTAATACCTAATTTAAATAAAAGATAATAAAGTAATATTCTCAATATTCCTCTTTATTTTAATATCTATTTATTTGAATTTGATATTTTTTTCTTTTATTTTGTTTATAATTTTTCTTTCTTTTTTGTATGAGATCACATTTTCATTCAACTTCATTTTCTTCATCAAAGTATTTCTTCCTTTATCAACTCCATCTCCTTTGTTTCTTTCAAACTTTTTCATGGTAGTACCGTTGACTCTTTGAAGGACGTTGAAAACGGTTTCTTCATCTATATCTTTATTTTCCTCCTTAACATCAAGTTCCTTCAAGAAATCTTTTTCATGCTTTTTCTTTGACTTTTATTTTATATCTTCGTTTTTAATTAACTCTTCTTTCATCAAATCTAAAATGAAACTTTTTCCTTTCATGTGAACTTTGAATATTTTCAAGTTATTTGTATCTTTAATCACACAAAGTTTGTGATCAAAAGACACCTTATAACTTTTTTCTAATAATTGAGCAATACTTAACAAATTAGAATTAATATCAGGAACATATAAAACATAAAAAATTAATTTGATACCCAAATGACTTTTAACTGCAATTGTTTTGTACCTTTCACATCCATTTGTTCTTTATTATCAATTCTCACTTTAGAAATATGTGATTCGTTGAGCTCTTTGGAAAATTTTCGATCATGAGTCATGTGGTTTGTACAACCACTGTCTATAAGTCAACATGTGGATTTGTTGTTTGTAGAGTATGTTGATGTAAGGAAAAACTCTCCTTCTACTTCATCCTCTATAACTTGAAGAAGTTTCCCTTCTACTTCATCCTCTATAATCTTGACGACTTTTTCTGGTTGTTATTTGCATATCTTTTCTAAATGTCCTAATTAACCACATTTTTGACATTTCCTATCAGGCCTCCATCAACACTTGTTGGATGTGTGATTATTTTTCTTGTAATAAGGACAAATAGAAAAGACTTGTGATTTTGTACCTTTGTTGTTCTTGGCTTGGAGAGAACCTTCATCATATAATAAAGAACCTTAACCAGTAGCTTGATCTTCTCTCATCAATCTTCGTTGCTCTTGCGCTTGTAAAACATGTAGTACTTCTGCCAGAGTAATATTAGACAAATTCTTTGTATTTTCCAATGAAGCAATAAATGTTTCATATCTCTCGGACACAGTTACCGAAATTTTCTCAACTATTCTGGAATCAAAAAATTTCTTGCCTAACAATTTTATTTTGTTAGCAATACCTAACAATTTTGTTTGAATATTCATTAATTGTTTGAGACTTTTGCACCTTTTGTATCTCAAATTCCCTTATTAAGTTTAGAACTTTCATACCTTGAATTTTTTCATCCCCTTCGTATTGATTTTTCAAATAATTCCAAATTTCTTTGGGTGACTTTAGCGTCATGACTCTGGTGAGGATCATTTGTGAAACACTAGTCAACAGACATGATTTAACTTTTGTCTTCCTCGTTTTTCTTTCTCTGTGAAATTTCATTTCTGCTATGGTGGGATTTTCAAGTAGTGGATCAACAATATAATTTTCTTCTACAGTTTCTCTACATCCAATCCTTCAAGATAGGATTGCATTCTTACAACCCATAAGTTATAATTTTCGCCATCAAAAACTAGAATAACGACTTGTGACCAATGATAGAAATTTTTAGGATTTTGTATATATGTATTTCTGATATATCATGTGGATATATTTCTATTCATGTACTTTGTACTTTATGTATATATAGAGTAAAAATATTACAAAATATCAAATATTAATAATATCTTAATCATAATTGCCTAAATCAAAATAATAACCTAATATCATTTTACCTTATCTCTTAAAAGATAATAAAATCTCTTATTAACTAATTTAAATAAAAAATAATAAAATAATATTCTCATCAATTTTTACATGCCAAAAGCCAATATCATAAGATCTAGAGAATTCAAGAGTTTAGCTTCATACTTTGTTCAATGTCTGGAGGACGATAATCTGTCTGACATTATTGACAAAAGAGTTGTGAAAGAAGCAGAGAAGGGACAAATCATTGCCGTTGCAAATCTAGCAAAAAGATGCTTAAGAGTGAATGGAAAGAAACGTCCAACTACGAAAGAAATCACATTTGAATTAGCAAGGATTCATAGATTGGTTAGGAAAAGTAATGCAGAGAAAAACGGTGAAGAAAATGAGCTTGCTTTGCAGGTATTGACGATTCAATGAGGCGTTTGCATTCACAACCACGTACTTTTGCTTTCCCTTATATTTGTTAATTGTTGCCGTAATAAATTACCTAAAAAATAAATTCAAATTGGAATAATAGGACAAAGATGATTAGCGGTAGATTTCCTTGTTTTCCCTCAAACAACCTATAACTATAGATTACCTACAAAGTGACAAAGTAGCTTTGAAATTAAACAATTTTGGAACAAATTACCTTCCATATTGAACTATAGATTAACTTGGAAATAGTTGTGAAAGACTATTTATAGATATACTATTATTTTATTATATTAAGGTATACACGTGGAAAAATGTAACTTCCAAAAGCATAATCATGGTACGATAGAACCTTGTAGATTAAGGAGGTAGCTGGCTTGTGAAACTAAGAAAAATAGCCTATTTATTTTAAACACTGGCTTACTCAACAGAATTTCTAATCTCCTAGTTTTATTTTTTAACTTGTTTCATATGAAAATAGACTCAGAATTTTCCGACAAGGTCTCACTTTACTTAAATCAGATTAAAATCAAATAAGTTTCCCAAAATCAAGTTGTTAACCAATCAGCACATAATAGATTACGACTTGGTCAGATCGATTAAAACATGCCCTTAATGTCTAGAACAAATAATAAACTATTTCATTTTCTTTTAAAAACCTCCAACAACTATTTTAACACTTGGGATTTATATAATATAAGCTAGCATTGAAGCAATTATAGTATAATTTTTCCTTGGTCACCTCCTGACTCATTTTGTGTGATGTTCAGGTTAAAATTATTAATAATTGCCTTTTGCCTTATTACAAAATATTGAAGTATCTAGGACTCCTATTTAATTTCATCATCATTTAATAATAAAAATCATATTTTTAATCTCTCATCTACAAAAGCATTATATTTCTTTATTCTTCCACTTGTATTGAGAGAGAAAATCTTTCTTTTCATCTTGAATGGTGAGGTATCACTTAAAGGGCGAGGTATACCTTCAGGTAGGATCTTGCAGTGTACAAATCAGAGTACTACCAAATATGACACTACATAGATTATTATGATATTTAAAACTAGTGCTGTTCTAATACCTATGTAATAATGTGCGTTACAATTAAATCAAACAATTTGTGGGACGTCCTTGTGAATGTATGACCACAGACATGGTATTTTCGAACCTCATTTAGACTCAGACCATGAAATGATGGTATGGTATACACATCCGTGGGACGTCCTTGTCAATGAAAGCACTTGTATTGAGCATGCTTATTCGCTACTTAATATTGTGTGTAGGGACACTAAGATAAAATTTGGTATTCTTGAAGTCATCCAATAGTGGGTTATATCCATCCTTAGTTCTCGTTTTTGTGGGTAAACCAAACTCCTCCATGAAAGATGATGTTTCCAGCTACATCAAATATAATTCATTAAGCCAGAGAACACTAAGTTGCTAACCATTTGAAGCAAAGCACAACTGGTCTTGCCTTACCGTAATTGTTCTCCTTTTCTTTCCTTTTTTTGATGTATGATCACCATGAAGTTTTAGCCACCCAGAACAATAATGATCTATTCGCTCCAAGAGCCAAAAGTCTGTAGGAAAGAAGATATCAGCGTCACCCTGCAAAAAATAACACATGCTTCAGTACAACCATGTATTTTTTAGAAGTTCAGGAAGGAATTGTTCTATGACAAGATCATCACTTATACAAGACAGCATGCATAATTAGTTTAATACTCCTGTAAAATGATGATTGAGCTTAAATAATGTTGCAAGTGGAAGCAACACAATTATCCTGAAATTACTACGGAACTATTAAATCAGTAGTGACTCTTAAGAGATAGGCTAATAATATCAATCACGAGGATAATTTTTAAAACATCAGTGCATCTCGCAAATTTAAAGAAAATTATTAAAGAATTGCAGGATAAATTACACTAGTTCCAAGCCATTTATGTCCCAATGCATCAGGTTTAAATTACCACCTAGGCATTTATGCACCCAGACAGCCTTTTAACTTCATTCTATGAAAATATGTTTGTAATTTAGATAGTTCCAGATCGGTGTAACTAACGAAAATTGATTCCTCTAGGAGCGACAATGTAAAAAAGAAGTTCCTAGCCTTTTTGAAGGGAGTTTATATCAGTGATAAATAAATAAATGATAAAGCAGCTTAGTAGTTCTTCGACGCCACTTTGCTTCCTCCCTCGGATGTACATTTGACTCTTAATATCTTTTTAACAAATTACATTTGTATCAAAAGCACCCAGGAAAGGAAAGTTTCTACTTCCTAGGTCATACAGTCCGGTATTATTAAACTTATGATATCATGCATACAAATTTATTGAATAAAATTATTAAATGTAAAACTTCAAGTATGTTCAAATTGCCATGTTCATAGGCTTCAAGTATGAACCTAGACGAAGTGAACAGGTGAGAATAAGGAAATAAAGTTGAATATGAAAGATGCTAGTGGTAAATTGAACCTTTGCCTCCATATAATTGTCATAATCTGAGCTGCTCCCATCTTTCTGCCATTCATAAGGAAAACTCGGTTAATTAACCTTCGCTCTAAAGTTTACAAGATGAAGAAACAGACAACTGCAGTTTTGTTAAAAGTATAAGAATATACTTTAGTTGAAACCAAGGGAGCTCTTTCACCAGGTAACTTCACATCTGGCAGGTAGCTGAAATCAGAAGCAATCAAAGACATCTTTGGTAACACCTCATGGAGAACCTCAAGTAATTTCTGGAGAAGTGAAAAGATAATAAATGCAATAATCAATTTATAGAGACTTAGGGAAGATTTAAGAGACTCTTACCAAGCAACCAGTCGGAAGCCAACATCTCCGTGGTTTTGGGTAAACCTTAGACCAAATGCTTTTCAGAGTGGTAGATACGGCAGTGCTGCGAGTCGTGTTGGTTTTATCCAAGTCCATGATCTCAACACAACGTGTAATTAGAGGGTCTTGCATTGGCTTGTACAACTCACTGAATGTTTCACTAATAAAGATAGATAATGATTGGTGACGTGTAATTCTCATTTAGGTTGTATAAAAGAGGCCACAAAATAATGTTATGATTTAATAATCACTTAATGATAAATGAAAACATCTTTGTTCTTTTTTACTTTGTGGTCACTACCCATTGAAATGAGAGAAAACAGATGATTTTGAAACTGTGTCTTGACTACAATGTAGGCCTAAAATTATAAAGATCCTAATAAAATAAGGAAACATGTCACAAAATAGAAAATAAAAATAAATCCCGACATATCATCTAGGATACTATAAATATTTTAAGAAATTAGCAGATATTCCTTAGATCTTCTGACACTCCCCCCCCCCTCAAGCTAAATCTTACTATGTTTTCAACTTGTTACAAGAAAAACAATTCATTTCTCCACAAATAAAACATAATTAGAAAACATAAAAATTGAGCTCCACTAAAAACAATTGTTGGAAAGGTAACTGAGGAATGCTGGAGAAGCCAGGAAAATTTCTACAAAGATAGCTTAGCCAAATAGCTAGAATAATAATCAAATTGAGAGAAATTTCTTGGGAAACAATCAAGCAAAGCAAAATAAATCCCGACATATCATCTAGGATACTATAAATATTTTAAGAAATTAGCAGATATTCCTTAGATTTTCTGACACTCCCCCCCCTCAAGCTAAATCTTACTATGTTTTCAACTTGTTACAAGAAAAACAATTCATTTCTCCACAAATAAAACATAATTAGAAAACATAAAAATTGAGCTCCACTAAAAACAATTGTTGGAAAGGTAACTGAGGAATGCTGGAGAAGCCAGGAAAATTTCTACAAAGATAGCTTAGCCAAATAGCTAGAATAATAATCAAATTGAGAGAAATTTCTTGGGAAACAATCAAGCAAAGCAAGGTTTGACTTTCTCAACCGCATTTGGAAGCTTCAAACCAATATTATTGGAGACTCAAAATATTTGAACGTGAAACTAAGTCTGACAACACAATATGGGACAGAGGGCTAGGCATATTAAATATGATAGACCAACACAATTCACCATCGCAACAATCATCTGCAGGAAAAGAAGCGACCACCCACTAGATATGATTTTATTTGTGGCAAAAGAGTCACCACTGGAATAAACGTGGGTGGTAATAGAAGTCACTGTTGTGATCCACTGGTGAGAAAAAAGTTGCATAACAAATACCGAAGTTGTGGAACCAACCGTTTGGCTATGCTCATACCAGGTAGAGGCTCACAAGTAGCAAAAGTTGTCCGGGGATTATCAATGGACCAAGGTGTAGTACTAGAGGAAGCCAAGATAAGAAACAAAAGGGCAACAAGATTGTCAACAGATTAGTACCTGAAAGGAGGCAAGCACAAGGCATGTCCATCAAAATGTCGGTGGTGGCAAACATTACCTATTGGGAAAGTTGATATAGGTGAACACAATGCTTGCCAAAGATTTTGCTACAAAAGTGGGTGGCGAGAAAACAGATCATAGTGGTAAACCATATTAGGATATAGCAGCAAAATGCTAGACACGTTGAGAAGAAGAGAAACAACAGAAGAGGTGACTAATTGGTGTTTCAAACTTTTGAGAAACTGAAGTTGAAGTGGCTAGACAGGTCACGAAGGTTTAGTAAATATGGTGTTGAAGGAGAGAAAAACTACAAGAGATATTGAAACTAAGTGACTACACGAAGAAGTCCGTTTTTTATATAGAATAGAATTAATGCAAAAAATACAAATAAATATAGGGGATAATATTCCTATTTATATGATATGATAGACCTACAATTACAAAGATCTTGATTAAATAAGGAAGCAAATCATTAAAAAATATATATATATATATATATATATATATATATATATATACATATCATCTAGGATATTCTTAAATATTCTAAGATATAAAAAAGTATCATGAGATATTTGTTAGATTTTCTAACAGCTACTATCTAGTGAAGCACTAGAATATGTGTCAAGGGATATGTACACCAGTATGTTCAGCACCCATACATAAAACTGAGCCTTACCGGTCATGTTGCCTCTCAACCCACACTTCCATCCATGAGGAAATTTGATTCTCTGCATAGATAAGATCATGTGGAAGATTATCAAGTACCTACACAAAGTAAATTAATTGTTGTTAAATATCTAAATAATAATAATAATAATAAAAATGCTTCATTAATGAGAGAGAAAACACTGGCAGGAGAAGTTATAGTTTGCAACATTTAATACCAAAATTCTTAGCAAAACACACAATTCTATTTTTTTTTATGATGCATTTGTATTGATAATGGCAGATAGCCAAATGCTAGCTATATCTTAGCTTCTGAAGGAGAACTACCAGCACAACTTTTTAATGCCAAAAACTGTCAAATGGGATTAGCTTGAACTGAGAACAGACTAGTTAGCTCTCAGCAGGGTTCCCAATATTGGCCATTATCATACATGTGTGAATTAAAGCAGCTTCTAGCTACACCTGAAAATGGCTGACTTCTTGTGGCTGACCATTTCACTAATAGCAGTCCAGAGTGAAGCAATAGCAGTAGACAGCCACTATATTACAGGCAGCCAATAAAACACAACATCATACATTGACTGCACCAAATTAGGGACTCATAGGTTCATCAATATCTACAAACTAGTTTAGGCATTTAAAATCACATTGAAAGTCGAGCAGCATACAAAGCACAACACACGCTTGCCCTGTTAAAACCACATAATAGTGCCCTATGACAGCACTATAGCAGCATAGCAGAGCAAGGCAGCCATGGGCAGCTATGGGGTGCAAAGAGTAGAGAGTTTTCAATTGTGGCCACTGCAGAGAAAACAGTGGCTTTTGTTTGCCATTGCGACACTGCCATATAGGTTTCAAACCAATTTTATGCCCTAAATACATCATTGTTTAGGGGTTTTAGAGGTACAAAATGTGTTTTCGCCCCATTTTCTAATGCATTATTTGCTTCAAAAACATAACAGGATCTGAAACTCTTCTTCCTGGATCATTTCACAAAAAGTCTCCATTCATTTGAACTTACGTTCTGTTCACACTTTATAGAACTTTTTCTCCTTCAATATATTCTATCTTTCTTCATTCAAACTTCCGATCCACATTCTACTAATTTTTATCTTCTTTTTCAATTTAGTTCATCATCATCTTTTAGTTTTTTTACTTCACTACAATGTTCTTTTACTTCTATACTGTTGATTGTGCTTGTGTGTAAATTGTGACTTATTATTTATCATGAATGTCTTTAATTAAGTTTTTCTTTAGTATTTGTATGTGTTGTATAAACTATAAGTCTAAGTTAATCCTTCAAAACTAACTTGTAAGTTGAAATTTACATTCACTATATATTATAATTTGATCACATTTGTAATTGATGCACGATCTCCAACACTCACCTCATGCCAATAACTGAATATTTTGAATGTGAGACTAGATATTTGAGGGTGGTTCCCAATAGCAAGTGTCGACATAGGCCTAACAAATCTTGCCTAGGATAAGCTCTGATACCATCATAAAGGATTGACTTGCCCAGTTCAGTATTATAAAACTGGCTTGTAAAGTGAGGATTGCACCCACTTACATACTATAATTTGACTATATCTCCAGTCAATGTGACATCTCCAACAAATTGAATTATAATATTTAACATAATAATGACCATCCTGCACTATCCTACTAACTAATTTTTATTTTTCTTACTGCTATGCTCATAAAAATTAGCTAATTTTGATCTTTTTTCTCTCTGTATGCATCCCTTACCCCTTTTTTTCCCACTTCCACCAATCCTTCATATCAGGTTTTTCCCTTTTTTCTATTACCTAAACAGAGCCAGTCCTACCTATGGACATCAATAATGCGGTTCTGCCTCTTCTACTGGTGATGATATTGATATAGGATGCAATGGACTAGTTTGAAGAATTCAAGGATAATAAACCAGAAGTCTGTTTACTTGGTATTAAATCAAAAATAAATTGAAGTATTTTCTTTTATTGGGAAAATATTTGAACTGGAGAACATAACATATCTAAAAGCACACCTCAAGCATTATTACCCAACATGGTTGTTGCTCCACCTGCCCTGTAAAGAAGGGAAAAATATTAGCATTACTGCAAAAACTTATTTTTGACACATTGAAAAGAAGTCCCCACACATCCAAAATATGAGGCTGGAAGTTTGAGAAAATTAACTTTTTAAGGGCAAGATAGGTAAATAATTGAGCTCCATGTACCATAATAATTCTGTCAAACTAGAAAAGTCAGTTGGTGTTATTAGAATATATGAAAATTTCCACTCCGTATTATCTTGATCATATCTTAGAATGCCTTATATTATCCATCAGGGTTAGTTTAGTTTCCCTATTTCCTTGTTATTTCTTGCGATTGGTTAGATATTCCCTTATTTCATGATATGTGTCCTTTTAGATTTGAAGTATGATTAGTATAAATAAGGATTAGTGTTCTAGGTTTTAAGAACCCATCGCATTAGTAATACATCACAATATTCAATGGAATATTATCCAAAGTCTCTCTCTGCTTTTCCTCCCTCTAGACTAAAACCCATAATTTCAACAGGTGTAAACAGCAATATCTAGAGCTTGTCTGGCATCTGAAAGTGCAGCATAATTCATTCAACTAATTGATGTCCACTATCTCCTCCCCTCCTCCACAACATTGTCCCCAAGAAAATTAGAAGTCCATACCCTCGTATACAAATTAAACCTTTGAAAAGACACACTGAAGCAAATAGCGATTCCAATTTAAGCATTCCTATGCATTCAGATTTCTAACAAAGCAAGTATATAAAAATAGGAATATCCTTGAAGTACTCGTGGAGAAAAATAAAAGAAAGATATCTATTATTCCTTTGTTGTCATGTTTTAATAAATTAATAATAAGAAAAAAGGAGGCAAAATACACCTTCGAGAGGCTTCCATCTACTAGATTTGGAAAGCAAAATTACACAGCTTACCCAATAGTAAAGAGGTCATTTCAAATATTTGAACCCATTACCTCCAGATCACATGGCAGCAACCTAACCGTTACAGACCCTCAACAATAATAATGATGAAACATATAAAAATTATAATAGTAAATATAATAATTATATTTATAGGGTAGCTTAATTTTTAGATTCTTAATGACTTTAAAATTAGAAGCTTCAAAAAATTTACATGATTCAGAAGAATTATAATAGCAGCCTACCCCATCCACTCCAATCAGCAGCATCACGACATTCTACCTTGAACTTTGGTATATGGCTGCGCACATCACCAACAGTTTCTCTTTGCACCTCGGCAAGTGAAGGACTAATCTCAACTGAGCTGTAGTAAAAAAAACAGGAGTAACTCTTATGTGAATCACATGATTCCAATGAAACATAGATACACAAGACAAATTTACTAAATAATGAATCTACTTAGGGATGGATCCACATATGACGTACTAACTTGTGGACATTTGTACATGTATAACTATAAATTATTATCATAATTTGAAATGTAGTAAATAATATAAATACTATCCCCACAAATCTCTTCTTTGCCTAATTATTTTCACCCCTCAATTAGACATTCACAATATTCTCTCTCTTATTTTCAATGGATATACAATATTCTTGCAAGGCTGCAACAACCAACAAAGTTATTTTAAAATACCATTCTCTTATCTTTCTATTTGAATTTTACCATCTTATATCCCTATCTTTAAATTGAATTTCAATAGTTTTTTTAACAAATTATCAATGGTTAAGACAATCTTGTATCAAAATTCAAATTGTCCATTATAAATCCAAATGTTAATTTATATATTTAAAGATATTATTTATTATGAATTTTAGGCTTAAATATGTTTTTACCCTCCTCAAATTTGGGATGAGTACGTTTTAGGACTCCAAAATTTAAAATTATTCTTTTAAGTTCCCGCATGAAAATTGTCTTCATGTTATATCTCTCATCATTCTATTACTATTAATATGGATATAGCAGTATACTATCCACATATTATTACCTTCACTTTTCCCTCTCCTCCCTTCCTCTTCTCTTAAACCAAACCAGAGAAAGGGACCTCTTTCCCTCCCCTCCATTCAAATCCCTTTACTCCCCTGCTCTTCTTTGAACCAAACACTGTTAAGGTTAGAAGCCAGGAGAAAGAAAAAAATAAAAATACCAGGCCAAAATAGGTATATTAGTTTTCAGGCCTGTATTTCATCAGCTCATCAAAGCCAAGCTAGATTGTCCAGTTGAGCTAGACCAGTTTTGACAACTCTAGTTGAGTGCATCAGAAATTAAAAATAATTTATAATTTACAAGAAAACTACCAGCAGCATTGGTCCAAACCGTCTCATCTAAATCAGCCGAGAATGGAATACAATCAAGTAAAATAAAAAGGGACACAGCTCTCTAATTTCTAAATTTTCTACATCATTCATCTTTTATATCTCATTATTGCCATGAAATAAAAAAATTAAAATAAAAAACTGCATTTAACACTAATCAAGGCACGTACGTGTAAGTCATACTGTTATAAACTTTTGCAGGAGCATTCAACATTATGTAATCCATTATACCCTTGGCACAAGTTCCAGATCCACCACCAATTTCATATATCTGATTGCAAATTAGAGTATAGTATCAACTACTGATTGAAGTAGTAAAAAGTAACAGCCTGTGTAAACAAGATAAATTTAGATGCTTACTACATTATTATCAAAAAGAAAACATGAGGCTTATATAGATAATATAAAGGCATGAAAACGTGCTTATATAGCAGTGAAACATGATCTAATAAGTGGTTTAGTGCCAAAGAGCAGCATAATACAGGGCTCTCATATAGCCAAACTGCTAAATGAAGAGAGAAGTTTACACTGGGGAAAAGGGCCAGGTGAACCTGGACAAGAAACAATGATCAAATGCAACAAGATTGAAAGACACTTACTTTTAGAGGAACAGAGAAATTTGCAGTGCGCATGATGGCTTCAGCAATAGCATGAGCATACCAAGGCTACAAAAGTAGATAAACATGAAAGAGCTAAAGCACTGCATTGACATACACGATTGGAAATTTTAGAAAAACAAAAATATTATTTAAGATTTTACAGCAGTTTCAAGCACCGGAAATCTAATTTCAGTATAATTTGATAAACTGAAATAAAATACTTGCACAAATACTGAAAATTGCATACTCGTGTCATATTTGCCTGATTTTTCACTTAGATTCCAATGATGAATTGGATGAATTCTAAATGGAAGAGTAAATTGGTTAGGCAATACATAGGGTTGTTGAGAGAGTTTTGTAACCATAATTTTGGCATCCATTTTTTCATTGTGGGTTTTGTAGTTGTTTGGAATCGATTTCAGAGTTGGTCCTTTAGTCCCATTGTTTGGGTGATGCCTAGGTTAATTTTTCTTCTTGTTTCCAATTTTAACTTAGATTTCTTTAATGTTATAACCTAAAAATTCAAATATCCCGCTATCCTGCCAGACAGGATAAAAAGTTCACTCTCTTGAAAGCCTAGTCAATTCTTGCCTGAATTTTCCCTAGAGGCATCCATCTTAACACCGCAAATTTGCAGGTAATGCACACATCCCAAAACAGACACCAATTGATCCTTTAAATCAATTTCTACTGTTTTGCAGCCCCTGTTGACAAGAAGGTTGAGCTTGACCACAACAATAGCTCTTAAAGATTGAACGTTCATGGAAACTATAAATTCTTGATAAAAAAAAATTTATTTAAAAACATAGAAAGTTTTTACAAACAAAACTGAGAACCATAAAAGGTCACATTCTGAGTCATATTATGTTATATATTAAGGACTAGAAAATCTTTATCACATAGAGAGGGTACCTTAAAAAGTTCCACTGGTGTAAACCATGATATGTCACTCTGCCTGTAAATATTATCCAAGTACCTCATATAAGCTTTACGGCCTGAAATGTCACCAGTCTATTACATTAGTACAAAGCACTGAAAATTTATAACCAATGTATAATTGAGTTATCCAACTTCTTAAAAATATAGCAAGCATTTGAACTCAATTGATAATAGTGTGGAAAATTTTAAAAGCTCTATGTTTTGCCTTTAATCCCGTGAACTGATAAAGTGATTGAACTGAAACTATCTGAAAGCAGAATATTGAAAAGCCAATGCCCAAAATTAGGATTCATAAGCATAAGTCAAGATTGTCAAAAAGTCCTTATCCATATGGTGAAGTACACTACTCATCCCTCCTTTAGACATAGTAAAACAAAATTAAGTTCATTTAATTCTATAATAATTAATTAATTCTCGTAAATCAATTAACCGAAAATAAATAAAGAAAAGAAGCATAGAGCGGGACCTTGAAGCTGATTGAACTTGATAGCATTAGGAAGAACTCCAACGGAGCCCGATCTTTGGGAGAAGTAGCCATGTAAGGGATGGTAGAGTGCGGAATGAATAAAATCCCGAACCTGGTGGAACAACAGTGAGTGCAATTGCGCAGGCATGGCTTAGAAAATCGAATTCATGAGAAGAGAATGAATTATTTACCAGAACGGGCTTATCGCCAACAATGTGGGTAGAGTATAGAGCTTCGTGTGGAGAGGCACACACTTGATTGGAAATCGCGAAATAGAAACGGCGTTAGGTCGGTGAAGAAAGAGAAAGGGAGAAGAGAAATAGCTGTGATACCTTTGGAGGCCATGGGAATGAGAGGAAAGGTGCGAGTGCGAGAAAACATGGTTCAAGCAAATTCAGTAACCGAAGCCTCGTTGGACACTCTACTCTTAAACCCTCACTGTTTAAGGGTTTTGTTTTGTCTTCTTTTTTTAATATAATTATTTATAGTTCATTAATATTTGTATGAATACTATATTTTTAAGTTTTGAGAATAAAATTGATTGGAACGTGAAGTTATTTAAAAATAAAATTAAATATTTTATTATAAAATGTATAGTTGAATTATTTAAAATTTTATCAAAATTATTTATTTAAATAATTTTTTTTTATTTTAAACAATTTAGACCTAAAATTTATAATAAAATATTTTTTTTATTTTTAAGCAACTTTTATTATTGTTTTGAGGTTCTCTATTTCAGTTTACTTACCGTTAATTTTTCTCATTTATTTGTGAATTTCTAAATAGGTTTCTGGAATTTTTTTTTTTGTTTGGTGAATTTCTAGGATTTTTTTTAATGGCTTAAAACGATTACAAAATATTAAAAATATAACTAAAGACCTATCGAGCAACTAAACCCTTTTTTTTATTAATCATATAAAATGATAAAAAAATAATAATAAAATTCTAAATTTGAGGTGCACTTTTTTTATTCGTCCAAAATAAATAAGAGTCAGGTTTATTATTATATTGATGCTGATTGACTCAATCTCAAGTCTCAACTGATATTCTTGGAATATGATATTCTTACAGAGCTTCATAACCATGTTGACAATATTCTGTAACATTTATTTGTAATACAAAAATTGACATTTTTATGAATGTTGGAGGGGTGACTCGAGAAAACTACATCCTTGATAATAACCATAACAGAGGTAAGAATAAAGCCTCAGTAGTACAAGTTCTTGGTGGGAATTTGTTATCATTAGGTACCCTTCTACTTGATTTCTACCTCCAGCTTGAATTCCTCTCCAATAAGAAGTGACAATTTTGAAACTTGTACATTTGCAAACTGAGAGGAGCTATCCAACCGTGACTTCACAACAGCCTTCCACATTGAACTTGTTCCAGTCACTATATTCAACTCTTTCCCTGATAAATCCACTCCATTAAATTTCTTATGCTTAGGTATCCCCAAGAAAGTAACCTTGTCTATGATCCACCTTTGGTCCAGAGCAAATCTTCCATTAGTCACCTTCGATGTAACAACAACGCTATTGTTGTATATAGCCCCATAAAAGTTTACCAGTGTCCACTGATCTTTCACCCTTGCTATGTCAAGTGCCTCTCCATCATCCAAGTACACTTGACCATAACTATTTCCACTGCCACTGATAACCACCAAAAGTTGAAATGTCGTCTTCCGAGCGGCTTCAGTTGTCATTGCTTCTCCTTGCAAGGCCAGAATATTACCTTCCCCAACATGCACATTTATGTGATTAGATGGAGCATCAAGAGTGACATACTTGCCTGATTCCGCATTCACTGAATTTGAGACATTAAAGAGGTCAAACCAGGTTCCTTTAGGAAAGTATGCATCAACAGTGGTTACCCCAGATTGTAGTACAGGTGATACCAGAACCCCTTTGCCTAATAGAAACTGAGAGCTTATTTCATATGTTGTGACATCCTCAGGGAATGAAAAGAAAAGGGGTCGTGCAATGGGTGTCCCTTTTGTATGTGCTTCATACATTAGTGTGTAGAAATAAGGGAGAAGACGGTAACGAAGGCCAAGCACTTTCCTAGCTGATGCTGCAACTGATTCCCAAATGTAAAGCTCTTGTCTGATGGAGTTTATTTCCGAATGATCTCTTGCAAAAGGGTAGAAAGCCCCCAACTACATTGATAAAAATAAAAGGAATTACGTATGTATGCTATGACATTTCATAGATCCTTTCTGCATGTTTTCTCAAGAAACAAAAAGCATGGTACTTTTCAGTTTTCACTCATGGAAAGCGTTTGAATACTTTATAACATTTCACACTACAAAAATATTATTCCATACTACTGCATTGGAGGATCGATTTTACCTGGATCCAGCGCCGACAAAGTTCTTCAGTTGTATTTCCACCAAAACCGCATATATCTGCTCCAACCATTGGAATTCCAAAGATTCCAGAATTCAATATCGATGGAATTGAGTATGCCAAATCGTTCCATGTAGCAGCATTATCTCCTGTCCAATGGGCAGCATACTTACCAGAACTTACAAAAGTTGATCTTGTTAGGATGAATGGCCTTTTACCAGTTATATCCACCAATGCCTTGTTAGTAACTTTGGATTCTAGTAGTCCATACAAATTGTGGGCATCGTACTCAGTGATATTACCATAATGCAAAGATGTTGCTGGGACTGTTCTGTCATTAATGGGTCGTAGGTCTCCAACATTGTTTATATTATAGGGAGGGTTATCAAGATTAGAAGACGGAATGGGAGGAGATGTGATGAAGTTTGATAACTCATTCATGTCAATCCAGAGCCCATCAAAAGGCAGAAGGCCCCTAAATAACTTGATTTCCCCACCCCAAAATGCTTGGCTGCGAGGGTTTAGAAAATCAGGGTAATAAACTTGTCCAGGCCAAACTTTACCTAGATAATTACTTCCGTTTCTCTTTATGTAGACATCAGCCTTCAAACCTCTAACATACGTTTCATATGTCTCATTTACACTGATACCTGTTTTCAAAATCCGCCTCAAATTAATAAAGATGTTTTTTAAGAGCAGAGTATGATTTTGAGTGATTTGCAAGAATTTCTATGGTGTCAAAACTATGTACCTGGATCCAAGATAAGCACATATTTCTGACCATTTTTGTGAAGAGTATGAACAAAACTTCTCATCTTATCCAGCGGAAAGTTGATGGGATCAAATGTAAAATCTTTATATGCATCCATGTAATCAATATCTGTCCACATTACTTCAAGGGGTATATCAGCTTTTGCATAGTTGGCAACCACACCCTGGAGATCGCTTACATTCTTGTAGCCATATCGACACTGATGAAAACCTTCGGAAGAGATATTACCAATGTGGATTAACAAGGGAAGTAGATATAATGGATTAGCATGAATTGGCAGAAAATGGCAATTCCTATGTTAGGTTTTTGCAGCTCATTACTCCTCTGCCTTGGAGAATCTATAGTGTGTATGAGAACCAGTATATATTCACTAAAAGACTCATGTAATTAACAAAAAGTAAACAACTAACCAATGGCATAGCTAATTGCTTAGTTACCGGGTCATTTATCAGTTATCTCGAAAACTGAACACGTTAAGAGTAATCCTATATATGATTTTATTTATAAGACAAATCAGAGTATATTTTGGAAACTATAGAACTATAGAAGCAAGCTAAACAATTGAACTTCTCGGGTGATAAAGGACAATGTCGGCCACCCAGCTTATATATGTTTGGACAAACAATATTTTGGCTATTTTACCTACATCGTTTACACAGACAAATTCTTTCCTATGAAAATCACAATCATGCCACATTTCCCTCTCCCAAACCAAATGTCCTAATTAGCTTTTGTAGCCAGGCTTGGCTTGTGAATACTATATAGAGCATTGTATTATCAAAATACAATATAGAACAGTAGAAAAACTTACACCTCCTTTCAAGTTTCAAAGCTGTCACGTCTATATTTCTTTTTTTGTTTTCTTTTACTTTAACCACAGTTAAAAATAATGTAATCAAAGACTCAAATGAAATTTTAGAATCTCTTGCATCATCAATCGCATTTCTCTATAACCTTTTTGCAACATCAAAGATTGCAAGGAACCTACTACGATTGTGACCGCAAATGAAAACTTTAACTTAAGTACTTACCAAAGGACCAATAGGGCATTGGAGCAGGCCTGCCAATGAGTTCAGTGTACTGTTCCAACACCAGTTCTGGAGAGGATCCAGCGAAAAAGTATAGATCAAAAACCCCACCAATGACCTTATAAGTAACGCGATCACCGGCATACAGAATGTCCATTCCATTGCTGTTGAGCAGCAAAACCCCATGAGTGGTGCCAGCCTTCACTCTTCCATCAGAGGAGGGTGATCTGACGTCCAAGTAAAAGGGGTGAGAGCCATAAAGGTTGACGTCCGGGGTGGAACTTGCAATATCTGCATTCCACAGTGTAAGGGTCTGGTTGGGTCGCAGCTTGAAGGAGCTCTTGGTGTGTTCCCCGAGGCCATATAGAGACGCTCTTTGTAGTGGGAGGGAGGAAGAGAGTTGCAGGTACTGGTCTTTGAAGACAAGAAAAGTTTCAGGGTTGGAAGGGTTAGGTGCGGCGTTGAAGAGGACGTCGGTGGAGGATTTGCGTGAGACCGTGAAGCCAAATGGGGTGGTGTTGTAGAGAGTGAAAACAAGGTCTGAGTCTGGATGTGTGAGAGTTAGAGAGTGTTGGGAACCTTGTTTGCTATTGAGGAAGCGAAGAGGGTAATATTGAGAAGAGGAGCCTCTGGGAATCACATGTGAAGGAATTTCCCATCTTTGGTGATTGGAGTCAGTGATTCTCACTCTCAACCTATCCTTGTTCTCAAAACTGCGTTTCAGAACAACCAATTATTTATCTAGATAGATAATAGAGCAATACATGTATGATAGGTCAAGATTACAGTATGAGACAAGTAAATGGTACCAAACATATATATGAGTAACTGAACACAGTGAATAAGGCTAATTAACTAGTTGTTGTTGGTGTTGTTGTTACCTGGCAGTGAGGGAGAGGTGTGGAATGTCCGGTCCGAAAACAGAGGAGGATTTGATAAGGTTAAGGTTTGCAATGAAAGAGTTGGTTATGGGATAACTGTTAACAGTTGAGATGGTGTAGCCATAACCAACTGGTTCTGCTTCTGACGATGAAGTGCAACAGAAGATGAGAAAAACAGAAATAGTAAAGATAGTGGTTGTGATTTGAGTGTTGAATGGTGTAGCCATAATCTTAGAGTTGAAGTGCTAGAAAATGATAGCATATGGATTTGTAATTTACATTGTTCTTGTTGGAAGCAACGAAAGGAAGGAAGAATAATTGGTGGAACCAAGGTGAGTTGACTCTATCATGTATG